CGGTAAGAGACGAAACCGGCGGCGGCGGGTTGAGGAGTTACAAAGGAGAACTCGTTCGACCCGGGCGCGGGCGCGGAACCCAGACGCGAGACTTTTCGGAAGTCCGCAAACAGCAAATCCTCAGGCCCGGCCGGTAAGAGGCGAAACCGGCGGCGGCGGGTTGAGGAGTTACAAAGGAGAACTCGTTCGACCCGGGCGCGGGCGCGGAACCCAGACGCGCGACTTTTCGGAAGTCCGCAAACAGCAAATCCTCCGGCCCGGCCGGTAAGAGGCGAAACCGGCGGCGGGTTGAGGAGTTACAAAGGAGAACTTGAACGACCCGGGCGCGGGCGCGGAATCCAGTCGCACGGGCTCCAAACCCAGGATTGGACCTAGTGAGCAGCCCACCGGGTGAGTGACTACGGAGGAGTCAGTGGGGAGGCGGTGGCAGCGAGTTGACTGTGGGTGCCCGGTTACGCGCGAGTGAGGAAGTGAGCGGGGGACGGCGGCGGCGCCATTTTCCCCCGCTCTGACCACGCCCCCACATACAGCATCACAACCCAGCGACCTGGGACTCCAAGGCGCCGCTTCTCTCACTTAAAGGGCCAGAACAGACCAAAAATGTCGCAGGGGGACCTCAAAGTCCCGGAGATAAATCTAAGTGACGAAGAAATAGCAAATCTCTCAGACGCACAATTTAAAACACTGGTCGTCAGCTTCCTCACAGATCTGGTGGACTATAGCCACAAATTAGAGAAACATATGAAGGCTAAATTAAGGGAAATGAATGGAATTCCACAGGAAACCCATAGAGATGAAAAAAAAACTGGGACTCAACTCAATGGAGTAAACCAGAAGGAAGAAAAAAATGATCAATCAGGAAGGAATGAAGAAACAAGAATTCAGAAAAATGAGGAGAAGCTTAGGAACTTCCAGGACATCTATAAACTCTCCAATATCCGAATTATAGGGGTACCAGAAGGGGGAAAGACACAACCACCAGTGGAAAAACTATTTGAACAAATAATAAAAGAAAATTTCCCCAATCTGGCAAAGGAAACAGACTTCCAAGAAATCCAAGAAGCCCAGAGAGTACCAAAAAAGTTGGACTCAAGAAGGAACACACCAAGGCATATCATAATTACATTAGCCAAAATTAAAACGAAGGAGAGAATCCTGGAAGCAGCAAGAGCTAAGGGGACAATCACCTACAAAGGAGTCCCCATCAGGCTGTCAGCAGATTTCTCAAAAGAGACCTTACAGGCAAGAAGGGGCTGGAAAGAAATATTCCAAGTCATGAAAACTAAAGACCTACAACCAAGATTGCTCTACCCAGCAAAACTTTCATTTAGAACGGAAGGACAGATAAGGTGCTTCTCAGATAAGACCAAATTCAAGGAGTTCATCATCACCAAGCCCTTATTATATGAAATGTTAAAGGGACTTATCTAAGAAAAAGAAGTTAAAAAAACATGAACAGTGAAAGGACAGCAAACTCACAGTTATCAACAACCACACCTAAAACGAAAGCAAACTAAAAGGACAGCTAGATCAGGAGTGGAAACATAGAAATGAAGAGCTCAAGTAGGGTTAGCAACAGGGGAGTGGGAGTAGAAGACGGGGAGAGAAGGTACAGAAAACAAGTAGCATAGACAGTAGATAGAAAATAGATGGGGGGGGGCAAGAATAGTATGGGAAATACAGAACCTAAAGGACTTGAGACACATGGACATAAGCTAAAGGGGGGGTAATCGGGGGGTTGGGGGGGCAGGGTGGAGGGGAATGAAGGGGGGAATAGAACAACTGTAACAGCATAAACAATTCAAAAAAATAAAAAATTAAAAAAAAAAAATAAAACGGTTTTGTACAACGAAGGAAACCATCAGCAAAATGAAAAGAATCTATGTTGAAAGAACGTATTTGTCTATGATACATCTGACAAGGGGTTAATAGCCAAAATATATTTTAAAAACTTAAAAAAAAAAAAAAAAGAGTTCAGGCCAAGATAGAAGCATAAGTAGAGACACTTCGTTTCCTTGCACAACCAAAAGGATAACAATCAATCTAAAAACAATAATCAGAAGTGCCAAAAAATCAAACTACACAGAACTCCAACAACTGAGTTAAAGAAACATTCACCCAGACCAGTAGGAGGGGCTGAGATGGGCAGCTGAGCCGAGAGGACTTGTGGCAGGGTGGCAGAATGTGTGAGCAAGGCAGGGCTGGCTGAATGGGAAACTAGACTCAAAGCTAGCTGTAAACTACTGCGGGGCCGCCACAGTGGCCAAAGGTCCCAGTCTCACATGAGAGTCTGAGTTCGTTGGAAAGTGGAGCTAGAGTGGAACAAGCCAGCCGAATTGTTCCCTCTCTGACCCCTTCCCCAAAGACAGCGCCACAATGCAGCAAAGAGGGTTGCCCCATCCTCTGGTGTAAGGGACAGAAATACAGCCCAAATGAAAAAAACATCAAAACTCCAGAAAAAGAGCTAAGCAACGAGGAGACAGCCAACCTACCTGATGCAGAGTTCAAAACACTGGTAATCAGGATGCTCACAGAAATGATTGAGCTCAGCTGCAAAATGAAGGAACAAATGAAAGCTACCCAAAATGAAATCAGCAAAATATACAAGGAACCAACAGTGAAGGGAAGGAAAATGGGATTCAAATCAACAATTTGGGGGAAAAAAGGAAGAAATAAACATCCAACTGGAATGGAATTAAGAAACAAAAATTCAAAAAGATGAGAGAGGCTTAGGAACCTCCAGGACAACTTTAATGCTCTAAGATTAGAATCTGGGGTGTCAGAAGGAGAACAGGAACAAGTCGAAAACTTATGTGAACAAATAATGAAGGAAAACTTCCCCAATCTGGTGAAGGAAACAAACTTCCAGGAAGTCTGAGAGGCCCAGGAAGCCCAGAGTCCCAAAGAAATTGGACCCAAAAAGAAACACACCAAAGCATGACATAATTACATTAGCCAAGATTAAAGATAGAGAATCTTAAAAGGAGCAAGAAGAGTTCCCTACAAAGGAGTACCCATAGGGCTATCAGCTGATTTCTCAAAAGAAACCTACAGGCAAGAAGGGGCTGGAAAGAAGTATTTGAAGTCACGGAAGGCAAGGACCTACATCCAAGATTATTCTATACAGCAAAGTTATCATTTAGAATGGAAGGACAGATAAAGTACTTCCCACGTAAGGTCAAGTTAAAGGAGTTCATCATTACCAAGCCCTTATTATATTAAATGTTAAAGGGACTTAGCTAAAGAATTGAAGATCAAAAACTATGAACAGTAAAATGACAACAAACTCCAAACCATCAATGACTGAATCAAAAAAACACAGAAACTAAGCAAACAACTAGAACAGAAACAGGATCAGAGAAATGGAGATCACATGGAGGGTGTTCAGTGGGGAGGGGCTGGGGAAGAAAGGGGGTAGAAAGGTACAGGGAATAAGAAGCATAAATTGGTAGACACAAAATTGACATGGGAAGGTTAAGAATAGTATAGGAAACAGAGAAGTCAAAGAACTTATAGTACAACCCGTGGACATGAACTAAGGAGGGGGAATGCTGGAGGGTTGGGGGTGCAGGGCAGAGAGGGGTTAAAGGGGGAAATATTGGAAAAACTAATAGCATAATCAATGAAACATACTTAAAAAAAGAAATGGGGATTCAGGGAGAGGGAGAAGAGGGATAACTAGATGAAGCAAAGGGTACTTTTAGGTCAGTAAAGCTATTCATTATGATACTGTAAAGGTACATACACAATGCATTTATCAAAACTAAAGAACTACCATTCAATACAAAGCGTGAATGCTAATATTTTTAAAATGTGATTTTTCCTTCATACTAAATAAAAATGTTGAGGCCCTGGCTGGCATAGCTCAGTGGATTGAGCGTGGGCCTGCAAACCAGAGTATCGCGGTTCAATTCCCAGTCAGGGCACATGCCTGGGTTGCAGGCCAGTTCCCAGCAGGGAATGCATGAGAGGCAACCATACATTGATATTTCTCTCCCACTCTTCCTCCTTCCCTTCCCCTCTCTCGACAAATAAATAAATAAAATATTTTTTTAAATGTTGACATTAAAACTAAAAAAAAAAAACCCAACCCCACAATCCAATTTAAAAATGGGTGAAGGACCTGAACAGACACTTCTCCAAACAGGACAGACAGATGGCCAATAGACATGTGAAAATTAGAGAAATGCAAATTAAAATCACAATGAGATAGCATCTCACACCTGTCAGAGTGGCCATCATCAATACAACACACACCAAGTGCTGGTGAGGATGTGGAATAAAGGGAACCCCCAGGAACTGCTGGTGGGAACGTAGACCTCTGTAGCCACTGTGGAAAACAGTGTGACATTACCTCAAAAAATTAAAAACAGAACTGCCTTATTACCCAGTGCTTCCACTCCTGGGAACATATCCAAAGGAACCTGAGAAACTAATTCGAAAGAATATATGCATCCCTACATTCACTGCGGCATCATTTACAATAGCCAACATTTGGAAGCAGTCCAAATGCCCATCAGTAGGCGAGTGAACAAAAAAGCTGGTACATTTGTATAATGGAATACTACTCGCCGTAAAAAGGAAAGCTTACCTTTTACAACAGGATGGATGAACCTGGAGAATATTATGCTAAGAAAAATAAGCCAGTCTCTTAAGACAAGTACCATATGATTTCACTTACACGTGGAAACCAACCAGGAAAATAGAAACAGACTCATAGATACAGAGGACACACTGATAGGTGTCAGAGGGGAGGTAACTAGGGTGGCTGGGTGAAAGAGATAAAGGGATTATGCAAAAAACAAAAACAAACTCATAGACACAGAAAACAGTATGGTGATTACCAGAGGGTGGAGGGTGGATACAAGAGAGTAAAGGGGGCACAAATGGTGATGGAAGGAGACTTGACTGAGGGTGGTGAACACACAATGCAATATACAGGTGATGTGTTAACTGTACACCTGAAACCTATATAATTTTACTAACCAATGTCACCACAGTAAGTTAAATAAAAGGTTTAATAAAGAAAATTTCAGGAAATAAACTATAATGGGCAAAACAGAGCCAGAGGCACTGAACTGTGGAACAGACTGAAAGCTGTGAGAGGGAGGAGGCCAGTGGGGTCTGGATGAGAGAGGGTGAAGGGATTTAGTCGAAGAACATATATGATGGACCCATGGACATGGACAATAGTATGGGGATTGACTATGGAAGTGGGGAGCTGCCTGGGTGGAGGGGGGCCAAAAGGGGAAAAATCGGGACAATTGTAACAGCATAAACACCAAAACACTGAAAAGAAGAAAATTTCAAAATAAGCTGTTTGGCTTACTTCTGCTTAATGTGCAAACAAACACAAAGGCCCTTTGTGTGACCTAAATTTAACTGCCTCATACCCTAAAGTGTCCTGTGTCTTAAATTCTACCCACTCCCCCTCTATTAAAACTTCCTTTCTGTCAGAGAAGGGGGTAAGACTCCACTTAGTGGCAGAATCTCTTGAAATAATCAATAGTTAGGTAATATGTCTATGAGCAGGTAGTAAACATCTCTATTAGAGACCTATGTTTTATGACACAAAGCTTAAAATCTCAAATTAATCTCCAACTAGTAGAATTTCAGGCAAAATAACTGAAAAGTAAAAAATAGAAGCCAGATTGTAGGTATGTGTTGGAGATGGGGACAGCTTTCCAGGTAGGTCATACTGAGTCATACTTTCTTTGGACCATTTCTACTTTTCAAGGCTTCCTTTTTTTATCTAAAGCTTTGAACTCAGAAATTTTCTGAGATACCAAAGGCTGTTCTGGACATCCTTCCTCATTCACCCAGCCAATGAGATGGGGGACTTTGCAGGTTGGGTGTACATAAGTATATCTTGGAGAAAAAAAAATGTCTCTAGTAAGAGGCTTACTTTCAACCTAATAATAGTACACTACTGTTCATAATACATATGATTTACACTTCAGGTATATTATTATTATTGTATAAAAACACAATAAAATCTTGTAAGAAACTGTGAAATAACTGATGCTCAATAATTCTCTTTAAATAAACAGATTACAATAAAACTAGCTATTGGCTAAGTTTCATCAATCTTTTTTAATTCTCTTTGATTTTTTCTCCCGGTCTTCTTCTGTTATCCTTTCTGCAGGTCGCTTCTTCAACCCCTTCATTTTTCTGGTTTGTAGTTTGCTCAAGTCTTGCTTCTGCATATGAATCCTTCCGTAAGTTGTACCAAAGGTATCATGGGAGATATTTTTCTTCTTCTTTGGCTATGAAACAGAATATATCTATTTAATGGTCTCTACTATGCTGAACTGATATAAAATCTAATGTACGACCACACCAACAATTTCCCTTAGTGAGCCCCTCCGCTCAATGCTGTAGGTCTGCAGTCCCACTGACCTTCTCGAATTCAAATGTACACACAAACCATTTGCAGATCTTGTTAAAATGCAGATTCTAATTCAGTAGGTCTAGGGTGGGACCTGAGATTCAGTATTTCTAGCAATTCCCAAATAAACTGTCAGAGCCCACTTTGATATGCCACACAATAGACTACACAAGCCTTTAACATGTGCTGAGAGAATTTCCTGTGTTTGGCTTAAAGAATTGTGACTATCGTATCTTTATTGGCATTCCAAAGATGCCATCTCTACGTGTCCTTTAAAACCATTCAAAAGTCAAAACACATTTTATGCAAGCACAGATTATACATCCTGTGCTCTAAATCCCCAGTCTTCACAATGCCCAAAACAATTCTCCTTTTTCCTGAAAACTGGCATTCTTGGCTACCAGAAAGCCTCAGCCACACTTGATGCCTGGTTTCTACAGCCTTTTACTTTTCCTTTATGACTGGCTTATTTGCTTCCTTCTCCTTTTCTTGAAAGTCTAATTTTATCTACTGCATTTACCTCTTTAGGTATGTCCTTTAATGTATGCCTTTTTGAAAAGAGTGAGATATACAATCCACAAGTTATGTACCTTTAGGGCTTTTGGCATTTTCATGGATAACTTATAAAGGTCATCTGATGCCAGATGTGTCCTCCTCAGAACCAGATCCAGTGAGGGTCCCATCTCTTCTAATTCAATCCGTGGTGTCCGACAGCCAGATTTTTTCAGCAGCAGCCTTTGCCAAACAAGAAAAGAAATGTTACTTTGACTTTGATAAACATCCTGTTCCCACCAAATATTTTTGTCCAATTACAGTTCCATAAAATGACAAAATCTTTAGAAAGGCTAAGCCTCTTAACTACTTCATACATTTTGGCCAAATATATTTTTGATTTGCACATTTTTTAAATAAACAAAGAGTGGCCCTCAATGGTGTGGTTTGGTGGATTGAGTGCTGGCCTATGAACCAAAGAGTTGTGGTTCAATTCAGTCAGGGCACATGCCTGGGTTGCAGGCTGAGTCCCCAGTTGGGGGCATGTGAGAGGCAACTGATTGATTCAATGTTTCTCTTCCTCTCTTTCTCCTTCCCTTTCCCTGTCTAAAAATAAAATAAATAAAATCTTTTTTAAAAAGTATACAATATTGTTGGGAAGCACCAAGTGAGATAGACAATTCTTATAAGAAATGGTCTTGAATTCAGGGTACTTCCAGCCAAGATGGTGGCGTAGGTGGAAACACTGTGCCTCCTCGCATAACCAGAATTAAAGACAACAAAGATTTAAAACAAAAACACAACCAGAACAGACAGAAAATTAAACTGTATGAAGCCGGGCAACCATTCAACCAGACTGGTAAGAGGGGCGGAGTCAGCAGCTGGCAGAGAGGGATTGTGGCAGGAAAAGGTGATGGCTGCCAGACCAGGGCGTGCAGGTGGGCGAGCAGGTGGTGTGGGGCTAGAAGACCCCGGGCAAGGGGAGGAAAGGAGCAGAGCACGCAAAGTGGTTGGCTGACCACGGTCACACATTCATACACAGATAGTTTATCTGCCTAGTTAGGCAAAAACAGGCAGTGAGACAGACCACGCAAACCAGGGCCCGAGCCCCGGGAGATAAAGCCTAAAAACATCGACGGAAAAGGTGCTGGGAGAGATGCCCAGCCTCACAGGAGAGTTCACTGGAGAGACCCACAGGCTCCTAGAACGTACACAAGCCCATCCACCCGAGAACCAGCACCAGAAGGGCCCAATTTGCTTGTGGGAAGCAGCAGAGAAGACTAAAATCTAAGAGAGAGAGGAACAAGCACCATTGTTCCCTTTCTGACCCCACCGCCACATACAGTGTCACAACCCAGCAACTGGGTTGCCCCACCTTGGTGAACACCTAAGGCTCTACCACTCATACGTAACAGGTGCAACCTGACCAAAAATGGCTCAATCAGAAGAACAAATCAAAGCCACAGAGCCAATACTTTTAAGCAACCAAGAGATAGCCAACCTGCAAGATGCACAGTTCAAAACACTGGTGACAAGGATGCTCATAGAAATGATTGATTTTGCTCACAAATTAGGTGAAAAAAATGAAGGCTACACACTAAGTGAAATGAAGCAAAATACACAGGGAACCAATAGTGATGGGAAGAAAACTGGGACTCAAATCAATAGAGTGGACCAGAAGGAAGAAAGAAAACCAAACAGAAAAGAGTAAGAAACAGAAATTCAAAAAAAATAAGGAGAGGCTTAGGAACCTCCAGGACATCTTTAAACGTTCCAACATCCAAATTATAGGAGTACCAGAAGGGGAAGAGGAAGAGCAACAAGTGGAAAACTTATTTGAACAAATAATAAAGGAGAACTTCCCCAATCTGGCAAAGGAAATACCCTTCCAGGAAATCCAGGAAGCTCAGAGAGTCCCAAAGAAGTTGGATCCAAGAAGGAACACACCAAGGCACATCATCATTACATTAGCCAAGATTAAAATGAAGCAGAGAATCCTAGAAGCAGCAAGAGATAAGGAAGGGGACAGTCACCTACAAAGGAGTTCCCATCAGACTGTCAGCTGATTTCTCAAAAGAGACCTTACAGGCAAGAAGGGGATGGAAAGAAGTATTCCAAGTCATGAAATGCAAGGACCTACAACCAAGATTGCTCTATCCAGCAAAGCTTTCATTTAGAAGGGCAGAGAAAGTGCTTCTCAGGTAAGGTCAAGTTCAAGGAGTTCATCATCACCAAGCCCTTATTATATGAAATGTTAAAAGGACTTACCTAAGAAAAAGAAGATAAAAAAATATGAACAGTGAAAGGACAGCAAACTCACAGTTACTAATAACCACACCTAAAACAAAAGCAAACTAAGCAGACAGCTAGAACAGGAGCGGAGCCACAGAAATGGAGATCACATAGATGGTTAGCAACAGGGGAGTGGAAGGAGGTGAGGGGGGAGAAGGTACAGAGAATGTAGCATTAATGGTGGGGAGTAAATAGACAGGGGGAGGGCAAAGAGTAGTGTGGGAAATGTAGAAGCTCAAGAACTTATGACACATGGACATGAACTAAAGGGGGGGAATGTGGGTGGGAGGGGGTGCGCAGGGTGGAGGGGAACGGGCGGGGGAAATGGGACAGCTGTAATGACATAATCAATAAAATAGATATATTTTTAAATGGTCTTTTTTATTAAAAATTTTGTTTATTTTTTTCAGAGAGAAGGGAAGGGAGGGAGAAAGAGGGAGAGAAACATCAATGTGTGACTGCCTCTCATGCCCCCCCCCCCCCACTGGGGACCTGGCCCAAAACCCAGGCATGTGCCCTGAGTGGGAATCAAACTGGCGACCCCTTGGTTCGCAGGCTGGCACTCAATCCACTGAGCCACACTAGCCAGGGCAAAAATGGAATCTTTTGATCTGACTTCATTTTACATAAGATAAAATAATTTTAAAAAAATTTTATTTATCTGTAGAGGGGAAGGGAAGGAGAGAGGGAGAGAAATATCAATGTATGGTTGACTCTTATGCATCCCCTGCTGAGAACTGGCCTGCAACCCCGGCATGTGCCCTAACTGGGAACTGAACCGCAATCCTTTGGTTTGCAGGCCCATGCTCAATCCACTGATCTACACCAGCCAGGGCAAGATGAAATAATTTTAACTGGGCATTTAAAGCATTATGTTTAAACAACTAATACATTCTTTTTTCTCTAAGGTGCATTTAGAATCAACTTTTCTCCGTAGCACGTACATTTACTGATCTCTATAGATTATAATGAACCTTTTAAATCTTAATATATCCACAACTTTCTGGATACCATTTTTCCAAACAGCTCTGGATCTGGAAACATAAGGGGAATAGTGGGGAGGCAGGGAGATCAACAAATTCTTCTGATGAGTGATACCACAAAAACAGCTGAAAGACCTTAAGATAATCTTAGCTGACTCAATTTGTTACAGTGGCCAGATCTCCACATTAAAAAAAAAAAAAAAAAAGAATTGACTGAATAACGATGTTTATACAAGGTCAGCCTTTTCACACAAAAACTGGAGTGTGAGATGTGAGAGAGGCAACAGGTGGTGATATGAAAGAAAAAAAGAAGAGCAAAGCCCAGTAAGCAATACCCAAGGCAGAGGCAAACAATGGGAAGAAGTGCATCTGCAAAAGCCAATTATCAGCTCTTTGGGCCTTAAGTGCATCACATGCAGATGGCCAGCCAATACAGTCCACGCACAGGAGATGCATTTACTGGCTGCAGGAAGAGTCACGGAGATAAATATGTTGTACAATAATTTATACCCAACCGAACAAGGAGAAAAAAAAAGGAAAGGAAAAAAACCCCACCAGCCTAGGATATATAAAGATGTTAAAACAAAAAAAGAAAAGACTATACTAACATTAAAAGATAAATGAGTATTAGCATGGAACTTGAAGGGAGCAAGCACAGGGTAAAGAGCCTAAAAGAGAGTCCTTAGGCAGCCACTCCCTTTATGCGGTTCCAGGAGAGAGAGAACACCTGTCTCAGGCTCAATGAGGGGGAAGTATTTTTAGAAGTTAGAGTTGGCTGGCTCAGGGCATGTTCACAAAGAACTAATCTGAAGCATACAGGGGCAGTGATCATTGGACGGTCATATCACACACTGTTCTGCATTTGCACCCACATTTTCAGTGCCTCCAAATTAACCATATTTATAATGCTGAACATATCAAGATTAGGGTCTTGATGAACAACACATCAAGAAAAAATGTGTTCAGTTGGCTACTTAAGAAATCAGGGAAATTACACATAAGATTTCAACGAAAAAGTTTTCTACTGCTTAAAATGCTTACTTCCAACTAAGTGGAAACCTCGCCGATCCAGGACAGTGCATGTGTGCCTAACAGATTCAAACCAGCCAGGCACCGCTAGAGGCGGCAAAATTGCTCTAAAGCACCTTTTTATTTATAGAAGGGTCCTCCTAGCAAAGTAATCCCAGTGGTATACAGAATTAAGATGGTTTCTGAATAACCACATATGCTGCTATTTGTCGAAGAACTAAGTTAGTGTGCCACCCTGTCTATGTACACGACTGATCTCAATCACTTCATATTTACTGACATCAAATTGATAAGAAGCAGAAGGAAGTGTTTAGTCTTCAGTTTCCTGCACATGGTTTCTGGTGACAGGCCTATCATCCCTTCTCTTTATCAAGCTTCTAATATGTAGAATCTAAAATTACCTCTCATTAATCTTTAAAAAAATCTGTTCACTTTATCAGAAGAAATATATTAATAGAGAATTTATCATTTTTATGATCATGCTATGAAAAACAAAGACTACTGTTAACTCATCAAAACCATTCCCTTCACCTTTATCCCATTATACACACTGCAATTCTGTTTTTAGATGATACATTGATGTTTCTCTCCCTCTCTCCTTCCGAAGATAAATAAATAAAATATTTTTAAAAAAAAAGATTTTATTTATTTACTTTTAGGGGGGATGGGAATGAGAAAGAAAGGGAAAGAAACATGCAAGACATAAATCGATTGGTTACCTCTTGCACGCACCTCCCCCCCTTCCCCGGTGGGGACCTGGCCTGCAACCCAGGCATGTGTCCTGACTAGGAACAGAACTGGCAACCTTTTGATTTGCAGGCTGGCGCTCAAGCCACTGAGCCACACCAGCCAGGGCTACACTGCAACTGTTTTGAAAAAGATACGGTGGTAGCCCTGGCTGGTATAGCTTAGTGGAATGAACAGGGGCTTGCAAACCAAAGAGTTGCTGGTACAGTTCTCAGGTCAGGGCACATGCCTGGGTTGTGGGCCATGTCCCCAGTTGGGGGTACTTGAGGGGCAACCACACATGGCTATTTCTCTCCCTCTTTCTCCTTCCCTTCCTCTCTCTCTAAAAGATAAATAAATAAAATCCTTAAAAAATGCTAACAGTAGTGCTGCCCCCTTATGCATGGTTTCATTATCCAGTTTCAGTTACTGAAAGTAACATTAATGTTAGAAAAATATTAAATGGAAATTCCAGACATAAACTATTCACAAGTTTTAAATTGTATACTGTTCTTAGTAGCATGAAGAGAACATGCACTGTCTCGTTCCGTCAGGCCCCGGACGTGAACCATCGCCTTGCCCAGCGTGCACATCTGTACAAGCTTCCTGACCGTCACACAGCAGCCGTCTCAGTCATCGGATCCACTGCAGTACACAGGTACTGCAGTGCTCGTGTTCAGGTTGCCCTTACTTTACTTAATAATGGCCCCAAAGTGCAAAAGTGATGATGCTGAGAACTCAGATATGCCATCAAGTGCTTCCTTTAAGTGAAAAGGTTAAAGTTCTCAATTTAATAAGAGAAGAAAACTCTCATATGGCAAGTAAGGGATGGCTACAAGTGACACACCACACCATTTCCTGCAAGTAAGGGATGGCTACCAATTCGGGAATAGGTTTGGACTGAAAATATAAAAATTACTAGAGGCTGCATCTGCTGCTGAAGAAAATGACAAGCTGAAGAAGTTGATTAGGGTTCGGTATTATCCTTGGTTTCAGGCACCTTCTGGAGGTGGGGGGTCTTAGAACACATGCCCCAGGGATAAGGTCACGCCAATGGCACTACTGCACAGAAGAAGCTTTCCACACTGAGCCGCTGGCTTTCAGGTTGCCCTGTCATGACACAGCTCAAAGTAAACATCAGTCTGAATTAGATCTTCAAAGGAAGGCCGTTTGTCCAAGTCCATGTACTCTCTAGGAAAGTGTGGGCTCTGTCAACTCAAAAGGCACAACTGCAGCATGTCATAAGCTATTTAAGAAAAACAAACTCAGCTTGCTACAATTTCTATTGTGGTGGGGGCAGGGGTAGTAAGTAGATCTAGGCTGAAGAATAAGGATAAAATGAATCTAGGCACTAAGTCTTCTTATTCCTGTCAGACTGTTTTTTAGACTCAGGGTTTTGAGATTCGCTTTGGCAGCCTAAGTCTTGTGGCCTGGTGCTCTAAGTCTAGTCAAGGAAAACAAGGAGAGCTTGCATCAGATAGGGTCAAGACTGCAGTAGTGTTCTAAGCTCAGAGGGAGTGCAGTGGTGGACGCTGGGGCCCTGGAAAAGCAGGGATTTGGACAGAGGTGAGCAAGGAACACACTTGAGGACCACCACAGGGGGCTGCGCCACTGCTGGTTGGCAAACTCACCAAACTTCTGGCCCAACATAATTCCAAGTTTGAGCTCTGTAACGGTTACACTAAAATACTAGCCATGGGGATTAATAAAAACATGCTAAGAAAGGCACTTACTTATAGCTTCGAAAATAAATCTTCCCATTCAGTGCAGTGAAGTGCAAGACATACTCTAAACCAGCCAGGCGGATATTTGATACCGTGGGGCCTCTGAAAAAATCTAAAAGCACACACATTAGATTGTTAAAAGTAATCCCTGAAAAATGCCTGATTGCTCCATCCCACCCCTCTGCTAATCTCATGACTGTATTTCTCTGTTTAGCTTACTAAGCCATTTTATTTTTATTATTATTATAATCCTCACCCAAGGAAACGTTTTATTGATTTTTAGAGCAAGAGGAAAAGAGGGGAGAGAAAGAAACACTGATTGCTTACCTCCCACATGCGCCCTGACCAGGGATCGAGCTTGCAACCTTTTGGTTTGTGGGGAACACGCTCTAACCAGCTGAGCCACCTGCTAGGGCTACTAAGCCATTTTAATTTTTCAGTTTTGAAGTTCTCCCTCTAAGCCAATGCTCAGCATAGAAGTGTGTCATATTTATCATGGATATCAACTATCAAGGCATAAAATTTTAATCTATAAAACAGGTAGGTTAAGATGGCAAATTTCTATAAAAGTGGATGCTGAAACATTGACTAGTAAATCAAACAAGACTGTTCTATGGTGGAGGCCAAACAAAGAAAGAAATTCTACCAAGAAATCTCAATTGTTAAAGGCAAGAAAAAACCAAGATCAGTGATTAGGCTGATTTTCCCAGACTGATACAATCATACCACTGGTGGCACATGAGATGATCTCAAATTATAAAAAGGCAGATATAACTTACTATATATTATTTATTTTATTATACATCATTTTCCACTCATAGTAGAGACATAAAAGTTCCTTTTAAAAAGGAGAGTTACTTTAAAGGAAAATCCCCAGTGAATGCCACCATGGACGCCAACTGCATGGACTTGGCTAAAGCTACGAAGGCCACGTATGAATGAAGAAGTTTGGTCCCTTCATTTTGCTGCTAAGAGCACTGAACCCCGAGGAGGATAAATGGAAACACACAAATAACACTGAGTAAGAAAAGCACATGTAAGTTTATCTAACTGGAGTCTCACACATGTTGGTGGACACGTGCAATTGGACAACCTCATGCATCGGTTTGGCAGTTTCTTGAAATGTTGAACATGCACTAGTCAAATGACTCAACCACTATGTTCCTAGAAATGAAAACATGTGTCCTCACAAAAATCTGTATGTGAATGTTTATACCAGGTCTATTGATAACAGTCAAAAAGCTGGAATCAACCTAAACATCTATCAACAGATGAAGGAATAAACAAATTATGGAACAGCTATAAACGGAATACTGCTTGGCAATAAAAAGAAGTAACTATGGATACACAGAGCAACATGGATGAACCTAAAAACAATTGGGTAAAGAAGATGGGCCAAGAAAAGTACACACTATAAAATTCCATTTATCTAAAATTCTAGAAAACGCAAACTGACCTATGACAGAAAGCAGATCACCATTTGCTTAGAACAGAGAAACAGGAATGACTGCAAAGGGGGGCGGGGAAGTTCTGGGAGCTGACGGAAAAGTTCCGTGTCTCGTCTGCAGTGGTGTTTGCACAGGGGTACATGTCAAAATCCTTCAAATTTTTAAACTGTAAATGCGTGCCTGGCTGTAAATTACACCTCCAAAGTTGTTTAAAAATAATTTAAAATGAAATAATTTGAAGTAATCTCTAAAAATTGACAACAAAATGAAATGAACACGTGTTCTGAGCTGCAGGTATAATCACACAGAAAAGATCTTTCAAGTGACTTCAAAACACTCTTCCCAACAAGGGGTATCATAGATAAACACAACTGTAAAACAAGTGAACACCAAAAGCACTCGCCCGCACTCAACAGTCACAGAACCAGTGGTAATAGTGGTACTTTATGCTGAGAGTATGTGTGTACAGCACAGTATTAATTACCTGCACAATTATGCTGAAGTCACTGAGAACCTGGATTGTTGTCATGGATGAAAGAAGGTACTTCAGTGAGATCAATGAAAGATGGTTTTGTACTAAATTTGAGTTAGAAGTTTTGGTGTGAACTCAGGATGTATTTTATCTCAACAAATAAACAAATTTCATAGTTCTGTCCACTAAAAGAGCCTAGAAACAATGATTAACCCAGAAACAACCCATAACACCCTGATTTTTAAAGTAATTTCTCATTAAACAAACAAACAACCCCCCCCCCCCAACCAGGGCACCCTGATTGGTGTGAATCAGTGGGCTGGGCGTCATCCCAAAGACCGAAAGATAACCAGTTCGATTCCCAGTCAGCGCACATGCCTCGGGTGTGGGCCAGGTCCCTGGCTGGGGGCATGCAAGAGACAACCAACAGATGTTTCTCTTGCTCATTGATGTTTATCTCCCTTTCTCCCTGACTAACCCCCTCTTTAAAAATAAATGAAATCTTAAACAAACAAGGTTCCTTAGGGAAAAAGCTGATCCGGGGGTTAGGGCAATAAAAGAACAAGAGGAGTTTGAAACATCAGAGGGGGGATGTGATGATGGATGACCCTGAACCTTGGACACTGCCACAAAGGCTCACCCTAAAATGAGCAGAAATGATGGCTTGGGCACAATGGAAATGAGTACAGGAATAAGGAATTCCAGTTAAATAGGACTAAGGAGATGGAAAAGGTAGAAGATAAATTATTGGTTGTAGTCAGAAAGAAAGCCCCAGTTTGGACATTTTTCCAATGGCTCAATTCTAAGTAAAAATAAGATCTGAAATATTAATACTATGTCCCAAATACATTGGGAAAAGGGCCAGGGGATCTGAGAGAATAAATCAAACCCTGATTCTACCACTTACAGCTCTTCATCCACAACATGGGAATAATATTACCATAATAAACTGAATGATTGTGTTCCCCAAAATTCATAGGTTAAAGCCCTAGCCCCTGGTGCGGCTGTATTTGGAGATGGGGCCTCTGAGGAATGAAGGTTAAATGACGTATGTCATAAGGGTGAGGCCCTAATCTCACAGCATCGATGTCCTTATAAGAAGAGATACCAGAAAACCGACATCTTCTTTCCTCTGACTCCCTCCCTCCCCTGAACACAGATAGAGAAAAAGCTATGTGAGCACATGGCAAGATGCCAGCCAGCAAGACAGTTCTTACCAGAAACTTTGATCTTGGACTTCTGGCCACCAGAATGGTGAGAAATATATTTCTACTACTTAAGCCTGCCAGTCTATGGTATTTTGTTGTGGCAGCCAAGCACATGTGAATACAATGACCCCTGTAGCACTGTAGAAAGGATTAAATTTAATGAATTACCTGACCTAATACATGGCAGTTATTTTCATTATTACCCGTATTTCAAGTAGAGTAAGAGTTAGGAAATAAGAAAGGTTAAAAAAATTAAAAGAATGACAACTGATTAGGTATGACCACTGATATAAAGGCAATGAGGAAAAAGAAACCCAGTTAGGTAGTTAAATTTAAGGCAGGCCTTAAAGAAACCTTAATAAAACTGACCTATTTGATTTACTGTCATATTTATATACACAGAATAGTCATATAAAAAAGTAACCATAAAAATTAGGACTGCCTTGGGCCAGGTGGTTCAGCTGGTTAGACTGTTGTCCAGGACATCAAAAGGCTGCGGGTTCTTTCAATCCCTGGTCAGAGCACAGACCTAGGTTGTGGTTCAATTCTGGTTGGGGCTTATGCAGGGAGCAACTGAATGATATTTCTCATGTCAGTGTTTCTCTCTAAAAAAAATAAACTTAAAAAAATAAAATAAAATACTTAGGATGGCTCTTTCCAGGTGGCACTGAGCCGTAAGCATCTCTCAGGACAACTGGCACAAGTACCATGAGACCAGGGGCAAGCGAAGGCTCCACAAAAAGCAAAACTATAAGCCGGGAGGCCCTGCTGCCAACACTAAGATTGGCCCCTGCTGCACAGAGTCTGGTTCAGGGAGGCAACAAAAAGTACCACGTCCTGAGGCTGGACATGGGCAACTTCTCCTGGGGCCCTGAGTGTTTTATGTGCAAAACAAGGATTATTGACATTGTGTACAACACATCCAACGATGAACTGGTCCACACCAAGGCCCTAGTAAAGAACTGCACCGTGCTGACTGACAGCACACGGGACCGACAGTGGTAAGAGTCCCTCTGGGCCACAAGAAGGGGCCAGGCTAACTCCTGAGGAGCAAAAGATCCTAAAAAAATGATCGAAGAAATTTCACGTGAAATAGGATGAAAGGAAAAAGAATGCCCCAAAACAGCAGCCTCCTCCAGGAGCGGTTCCAGCAGGGAAAGCGTCATGCGCGCATCGCTTCAGGGCCAGGCCAGCGTGGCTCTGCAGATGGCTGAGTTCAAGGGCAAAGCACTACAGTTCTATCTGAGAAAATCAAGGCTCGGAAAGGCAAATAAACCCTCCTCCCCCCATCTTAGTCATGTAATAAATGTGCTTCTTGTTAAAAAAAAGTAGGATGAACTGAATATAAGAATAGGTATTTACTAGTTTTCCATCAAGTAGGACCCACTAAGATTAACCACCAAACTATGTGTTTAAGAAAGCAAAGCAAGGGTCACTGGTTCGGTTCCCAGTCAGGGCATATGCCTGAGTTGCAGGCCACGTCCCCAGTAGGGGACACATGAAAGGCAACCACACATTGATGTTTCTCTTCCAGTCTTTCTCCTTCCCTTCCTTTCTCTCTAAAAAATAATTAAATAAAATATTTAAAAAAAAAAAAGAAAGCAAAGCAGAAGCAAAATTCACAATGAACAAAATGGGTACCTGATGTGAAAATACTGAAGAAGTTAACTTTTCTTTCTGGCCTATTGTGCACACACACACCCCTTCCTAAAGGAAGAAAGCCCTTGATAAAATTCCCTTTCTCTCTGCTCTACTGTATTTCATTTGAACACAACACAAGCTGCCTTACTTCACATCTGTATTAAAATCTCAACTTCCCTTGGTACCCAACGACCTCGCTCCATTTCTCTACTCTGCTATCTTCTTTCCCCAGATTCCTTTATGGTTTCACTCCCTCCCTCTCAACACTGCAATATGTGGTTATCCCTAACATCCAGTAGAAGCACAAAACACCTTAAAAAAATTTTTTTTGGTCACTCTCTTTCATGTATTATTTTTTTTAATTCATTAGAAATACAGGTTAAGCGCCCTGGCTGGTATGGTTCAATGGGTTGAGCACTGGCCTGTAAACCAAAGTGTCGCCAGTTCCATTCCCAGTCAGGGCATATGCCTGGGTTGTGGGCCAGGTCCCCAGCAGGGGGTGTGCAAGAGGCAACCACACACTGACTGACATTTCTTGCCCTCTCTTTCTCCCTTCTTGCCCCTCTCTCTAAACATAAATAAGTAAAATCTTTTAAAAAAAATACAGGTAAGAACCTGTAGCAAAGACTCTGCAAGCAAATTGTTCACTACTGGACAATAGGGGGAAAAAAGCTCAGGGTTTGGATTCTGGCTCACCTACTTAATAGCTCTTAACCTTTCTGAGACTCCATTTCCCCACCTGTAAAATGGAATGTCATTATATTCAAGAGCTTTAGAAAGGACTGAATAGGTTATAGTGATACTCAAGTTTTCTAAAATTAGTCACTTATTAATAAAGAAATGAAAAGTTCAGAAAACTGTTAAACCCAGCAATAAGACCATACATAATGCCAATAAGGAAAATGAAAGCAATGTGTCTGTCTACAAGCCTTTTTTGGTCAACATCTGTAAACAGCATATATACAATTTATTTATAATATATAACCAACCAATTTTTCAAAAATGATCTAGGGCAAATTATACAAAAATCCAAAAGAAGGGCAACCAAAAAAGTATATGACCTAGCTTATAAGCTTGTAAGAATGATGCAAGACATGCTGAAATGAAATAAACTATTTCAACTTGGGATAATGCTACTGAGTACCAGAAGTGTCTATACATATAGGTACTAACTAAATTTCTCTCCAGAGTTAGAAAAGAGCTAGCAGATGTGACTGCAGAATGAGCATGAAGAACATTTAAGAAATCATGAAGAACAATTTATGCCAACTTTTCAAAAAAGGGGAGAAGAGGCGGTTTAAAACTGGTAAAATTAATGTCAACCCAAGACGATGACAATAACTACATATTCGACTTTAAGAAGTTGACTTATGAACACATAGGAAAGAATGTAGTTGTAATGTAAATCATCAGGAACTAGCACAGTTCGATAAGAAATCTGTAAAACAATCTTATAAGGTCATTGTGAGAATGAAGCAATATATGTACAGCACCTAGTATATACCTAACATGTAGGATAACAACAGTGAAATAACGGGAGCTGAGGACGTCACTGAGGATTTCCTGGGAGAAAAATGAAATTTGCGAGAATAGAAGAAACCCAATAAATAAGAATGAAATTGGAAAAAATAGCAAGAATAGGCATAACATACTTTCAATAAACCACTTTTATTTGTTTTAAAGATTTTACTTATATATTTTTAGAGAGAAGGGAAGAGAAGGAGAAAGAGGGAGAGAAACATCAGTGTGTGGTTGCCCCTCATGCACCCCTCACTGGGGACATGGCCCACAACCCAGGCATGTGCCCTGACTGGGAATCGAACTTACAGCCCCTTAGTGTGCAGGCCAGCTCTCAATCCACTGGGTTACACCAACCAGGACCAATAAACCACTTTTTAATGGAAAAGTAGGAAGAAAATTGGGAGAGATCAAGAAAGCAAGTTATAGTAGAAAAAACCTTGTATATCATATTTTTAAAAATCTAGTAGAGATTTTAAGTGGAAAGTAAATGATATATAACCATCTTGAAAACTTAACTTTTCAACTTTCTAAATTTAATTTAATGATGTCAACAATGACAGGAGACAATTGTAAGCATTTTATAGAGTATAAAATGCTATGTAAATGGGTTGAGACCAAAGTTACTATAGCAACAACAACAACAAAATGATCTATAGAATATAGTACCCTTTTAACTCTCTCCTTAGTGGGAAATAGAAAATAATGAAAAGGGTCCTGGGTGGTGTGGCCCAGTGGATTGAGTGTTGGACTATGAACCAGGTCCCCAGTAGAGGACGCTAGAGAGGCAACCACATGGATATTTCTCTCCCTCTTTCTCCCTCCCTTCTCCACTATCTAAAAATAAATTTTAAAAAATAATGAAAAGGAAAAAAAGAGATCAAAAAGAACAAGCTGTATACCTTTTCCATGAAGTGGCAGAGCCACCAATAAGCCTTAGATTGCCTACCTGAGCTACCCTGCAGATAAGTATTAAAACACTTACCAGTAAGAAGACTTTTTAGCCTTCTGTAGTCTTCTGTTACATCAAAATCATTACCGGCAAATATTAACATGGGTTTTGTTCCCTCGGGGCATTTACTATTCTATGAAATGGGGAAAAAATAATTATATAATTATCAAGTCTAAATTGTTTATATGCTTAGAGTTATTGACACGTACATGTAATAATCCATTTTCAGTATTTCTTAACTGTCCTAAAACTATGTCTATGAATAATGATTTTAGATGTAAAACCAGAGCTGAGATTTTGAACTTACAGATTTTTAGACTGAAAATACCTTTCATTCCACCACCTCACACTACCAAATTAATAAGTCATCAAAGAATGATATAAGCTACCTATTAACATTATTCCATGCAAAGAATTAAAAAAAGCCAAACTTGCTATAAAATAAGCATAGCCCTCTAGTAGCCAAAGTCAAAATAAATTTAACTTCTTTGAATTATTTGTACCGCTGTGCCCTTCCTACTATATTACATAAACATTTTTAAATGAAAGCTAAATTAAACCACCAACTAAACAGTCACATGAGAACCAATATAATTTTATACAAGCTAGAGAAAGAATGAGTTAATCCTCACTCAGCAGGATTGAAGCTCTTACTAGAAAAAGTATTTTGTCCAGCTCTGAATTTCCTATACTAAGAAGAATGTGATATAAGTAATAAGAGGATTTAAATGTAAAAGCTATTAAAGTGAATGAAAATCAAAGAAAAAAGTTGTTTAACTGAAGGATTAATTTATAAAGGAAGGTAAATAGCTGTTGGTCTGAGCTTCCCACTGATTCTAGTACCTCTGCTCTGACATCAGTCAAAGATTATTGGAAGTTAGCAAAAGGAAGGCAGGCAAAAAAAAAAAGTCCTCTGCCATAGGACTAGAAGTCACCTGTTGCTTCCCTGTTCACCACGACTTCTCTTGCTGGCATTCCCTGCTTCCAACTCCTGAAACTTAACTGTCTATAATTCAGAGATGTGCCTAAGATCTGTCTGTCAGATCCCACTTAGGACCCCTAAATGGACTTTCCAGATCCAGTGACTCCCCTGTGCTCCAACTGTCCTACCTGACATCCTACTGCTACCCCTAAGGTCGGTCTATGGGGGTTATTTAAGTAGTAAGAGAAAGTGAGGCAATACCAACTATAACTCTGGCTTTTAAACCATCCTAACCATGATGCATAGTAAAAAAAAAATTATTTCAAGTCAAGACCCAGTATACACATTATAAAAATGTACCAAGTTATGCGAAACAGTACTTATCATATAGATCACAAACCCCAAACTAGAAAAAGATACAACAAAAGAGCTTTACTCTGATGGCCTAAAGGTATTTAAAAAATTTTTAAAGTATATAATACTATGATACAGTACACCAAAAAATGCTTTAATTATGATGTCACTGAACTAACCTTTTTTAATAAAGAAGTTACATTTATTACTTATGTTAGTGCGATGTACCTTTTGTTTTTTAATTTTATTTTTCATATCTGAAACTAGTCTTCACATAGATTACATACATTCTATGAGAAATCTGTACTTTAATATATATAAAACCACATATTCATATGAACTAACCTTCTGAAGTGTTTTTAAACAAAGAAAAATAATTCTTATAAATTATACACAAACTTTTCAAATAAAATATCCTAGGAAATTGTGATGTATTTTATGCTACCTAAAGTAAAATCAAGTAGCCTTAAATTTTAATCATCTCACTCATTCAGGTTTATCTTATGCAGAAAAACCATCCCTAGAAGTTTGGCTATCTTTGAAAACAGGTTCCTAGAATAATCGATCAGTTTCCTGGTGGAGTCTAATCTAATGTTGCTTAAGTATTAACAGGGATGAGGCTTGGCAATAAAGGAAAGTGAGAAAAGAAATACCTGGTGAAGATGTCTTAAAAATAAGAAGGCAGAATAAGGAGCAAATAAACATGAAGAAAAAAGTAGAACAAAACATGCAATCCAAAACAGACTAAAACTATAAGCTTGAAGCCAAATAACATGGTAAAAAGTGACGGGCTAACAGTCTACACAGGGATTGCCAATGTAAGCATATACTCAGCAATCAACAAATTTTGTGGTTATGGATATGCTCCATGAGTCAAAGTTTAGTACTCAGTTTAAATGGTTCTCGTTAAGAATGAGACCTGAAAACCATTCATGGTCCAGTTTACAAGCTGCAGTGACAGTGGAAGGAGTAGAGGGGTTGGCGTGCATACATTATCAGCCAGTGCTCAAGCCCAAGCCCAAGCCCACTAACTGGTGACCCAGCTAGCAGAAGTGGTGAAGGCAATGTGCTGCTCATTTCCAGGAATCTGTGCACAGCCACAAAGAGAAACTAAAAAATGATGGCTTCCACCCTAATAAAGCACCACAGTTTACACACTTTACAAAATGACTTCCAATATATTATTTTCATTGATAAGCATTTTCTCATATAGTATCTCATTTGATGTTGTTATTTAATACTTGATTGAAATTGAGTGCTTGGGAAGTAATGGACTTTATCAGGTCACAAACATCATCTAAATGGCCAAGACAGGCCTCAAACCCAAGTGTTCTCCCTCTAATCCAATCTTGGGCTACTGTTCTACACTGTGCCTGAGGACACTGATGTAGCTAAGTGGGGATCTGGTAAGAACCTTTGTTTCAAACGCATGGGAAACCTGAAAGTTATGTCCTCTTTTTAGAAGACATTGGGGGAAGGACTTATTACAATATTTGCTATAGTCTTTTCAACTTACACCATCACCCTAAAAGACCCATACACTAAAGCAACTATATAACTTTCCATTATAAACTTCAGTATCCTTTCTTTCAAAGTCCTTGAGTCCTAACTGTTTATACCATTTACTTTATGTATGAGTCCGAGTCAACAGTGGAATTCCTCTGGGCTTCAATCTCTAAATCTATATAATAGGGAAAGTAATTTCTACCTTTCATAGGATAGTTATGAGGTCTAAGTGAAATAATGTATTTGATGGAATAGATTAAGTCCAGAAGCAGAGTTCTGAGGGAGCAGAAGCCCAATTTGGACCCACAAGCTAAATTTCTTGCTATTTACTACTTTCCATCTCATAATCCCATTCAAACAAAGGAGGCACCAACATGCAAGTCCTAAAGAGGAGGACCGAGCTAACAACTGGAGGCTACTAGCCAAAATACTGTAGGATCAGTTAAAGCTTCCTAGGTTTAGAACAGGGCTCACTCTGAAAATTGGAGAACTTCTGGAGTTCCATGAAATAGGTACTGTGATAACTTGGAGGGAAAGAATAGCATTTAAACTATGGGCCTAGACAAGAGATAGTAACCACTCTGAAGTCTAACTACCAGAAGACCCACATGTGCCATACGCTATAAATCTATTCTTTTTAAAGTAAAGGTCGAATGAAATTGTGCTTTCATCTTAGAGCACATTAGTATAAAAACAAAGTTCTTTCTTATGGTACAAAATTGTACCAGCACTGTTCACCGCAAGATGTCACTACTGCCCAAGAGCAACATTACAAAAAAATTTTTTATCACCATCTTACCTTAATATCTTTTAGAGAGACAAACTTCTCAATACCTAATTCAATCATATCCAGCACATGGTAGTCATACATACGACCTAGAAGGAAAATCATTTTCTTTTAAACATTTGTTTTTCCCAAACAGCTTATCTGTAATGTTCAAAACGTTATGATACCTGCCTCTTTTCTTTCTGCTTATAAGCCTCAAACACGTTTCCTCTACTTTAAATTCTCAACATTACCTAGGATAGATTGTTGCGATCTTGGTCCTTAAAGGATCTTAGAAATCATTTAGCCAAACTCCCTTATTTTATAAATTAGTAGATAGAGGTCCACAGAGGGTACAGGGTTTGCTTGCCTGACCCACTGAGCACGGCAGACCAAGTCTCAGAACACCCAGTCAAGGGTTTTTCTTCTTTTTAAATGTATCCATTATTAAACAGATAGTTATTAGGAAAGGGTTAATCTATATAGGTAGGAGTGCTATTTTTTTCCTAACTCTAATACTGATTTAGGATATATATGTCTTATATTAGAAAAATATCTACAACTTGAGGTAGGGCAATATTTATATGTCCACTCTTTCTTTACCTGAAGACCAGTAGACAAAAAATTTTATTCAAACTCACATGGAAAAAAATATTACTTTAGAGCTTATTAGTCACTCCTGAATCCTCAATATCACCAATTACTTGTCACAGAAGTGACTCTGTAACAAAAATATCACAAAGTAAATGATACTTACCTATTACTAGATTATTTGGCCGCTTCTTATTATGGGAGCCAAACATAAATAAAGAACAATCTGACTTCTTTGAAAAGAATTCCTAAAAAACCAAAGAAATCCCAATCAATGAATAAAATAAGAAACTTAAGACCTCTACCTCTGAACTAAATATGTGTGTGTACATATCAGTTTTTTTCCCCAGTGTACGTTAATGAAGACTTAATAAATTAAGTGGGAATGAACAGCTGAAAAGAGCTTTATTTCTACCTCTTACTTCAAATTTGCAAAAACATGTAAATTCAAAAATAAATATATATGAAAACTACTAGGTTAATAAATGAAGACCATTTATATTTTCAGCTATACAGTTAGTTTGAAACAGCACACCGAGTATTTAATTTGCCGAACAAATGCCTTTACTCATGGGACATTCCTGCTATCATTAATCAACATGGTGCTTTTGGAATTTTACAACTGGACTCAGAAGCTTACAGTGCATACATCTACTTTTCATTACAACCTTCATCCACACAAGGACCTTGCCCTAGAACCTCCACACCACCCCAGCTGTGACTAGTTCCACTGTGTGTGCACAGCAAAGGCTGACTGACCGAACTACGTTGTCCTACCAGTAAGAATTCTCTCTTCCATTAGGCTCTCCGAAGTGCTGACTTCCATACAGATCTCATAGGAGTGGAAAGTCATCCTGGACAGCTCCTTTTATACTGATACACATGCTCACTATACCCCAGTCTGATTCAGTTTACTGAGATTACCAATCTCAGCACAAAAATTAGATTCGATGTGTTCGAGTCTAGTTGGAAAGGGTTTTTAAATTAATCATGAAACATTAAAAAACAGATAAAACTATCATGATCCTCAACTTCTCTTTAATGGTTATAAGACTCCCTGAGACATGGCCCCCTGGTGTGGTTATCACTCTTTCCAGTGTCTAAGCAATGCAAGTGGGGAAAATACCCACTTACCTATCCACTGCCCGTGAGGAGGACGCAAAGCCAGAAAGCCCAAGGATTCTAGCTCTGTCATTTACCATGGAAGGCAAGGCGGTCAACCTTTCTGAGAACTTTATCACGTGTACATCAGGGACAAAAACACCTGAGGAAAAAATCTTTAAGGCCCACATGATTTGTCGTATATGAAAGTACCTGATACTGTCTCGAGCACAAAATGGATGTTTAAAATGTTTTTTAAGTGGCCAAATCAATAAAAATGCTCTCTTAGCATGTCTTTTTACATCCTCATATTATGATTACACGCCAAGCTTTCCATAAACTTTCACATATATACTGCATTGGCCAAAAAGTTTGTTTGGTTTTTCCCCCTCTAAGATGGCTCTAGTAGTGCTTAGTTGTTTAACTTTATTCAAAACAATTTTGTTAGACTGTATTGTGACAGCTGTTGTATCAGCACCCATTTAAAAAAAAATTAACAACCTGTGAAGCAAAAGATCGCCATTTCGATTCCCAGTCAGAGCACATGCCTGGGTTACGGGCCAGGTCCCCAGTGGGGTACATGTAAGAGGCAACCATACACTGATGTTTCTCTCCCTCTCTTTCTCCTTCCCTTCCCCTCTCTCTAAAAATAAATAAATATTTTTAAAAAATTAACAAAATTGATGAATTTTTGTGTAGCCATTTTAATACTGAAAATGGGCTCTGGCTGGCATAGCTCAGTGGATTGAGCTCAGGCCTGCAAATCAAAGGATCACGGTTCAATTCCCAGTCAGGGCACGTGCCTGGGTTGCAGGCCAGGTCCCAGCAGGGGACGCACTAGAGGCAACCACACACTGATGTTTCTCTCCCTCTCTCCTTCCCTTCCTCTCTTAAAGGTAAATAAAGAAAATCTTTAAAAAAAAATAAAAAGAAAAGAAAAGAAAATAGAAGAAAACACAGTATTTTGGGCATATTATGCTTTACTATTTCAAGAAAAGTAAAAATGTAACTGAAATGCAAAAAAAAAAGATTTGTGCAGTGTATGGAGATGGTGCTACGACCAACCGAGGGTGTCAAAAGTGGCTTGCACAGTGCTGTGCTGGAGATTTCTCACTGGATGATGATGCTCCATGGTCTGGTAAATAAGTTGAAGTTGATAGTTATCAAATTGGGACATTAATTGAGAACAATCAACATTACAACACATGGGGAGATAGCCAACATACTCGAAATATCCAAATCAGTAAAGTCATTGGCAAAAATGAAAAATGTGTCTTTTATTTTACAAAAAATCATACATACCTTTCTGGCAACCCAATATAATACCTTTCTCTCTGCTGTTATTCTCTATAAAGCCCACTTTCTGTTAAAATTCTAGAACAAGGTTTTGACAAATTATCTGCAAAATGCCAGAGTGAATGTTTTAGGATTTTTATATACTTAAAAAAAAAAACCCTTAAAAAATATAAAAACCATTTTCAGCTCTTGGACCTCACACTAACAGGGATTTGGCCCACAGGGAGGCATACTTGCCAATTCTTATTTTTATTTATTTATTTTTTTCAATCCTCATCTGAGGACATGCTTACGGACTTTTTTAAAGAGAGGGGGAGGGAGAGAGAAGCATCAATATGAGAAACATTGATCGGCTGCCTCCCGCATGCTCGGACCACAATCTTGGTATGTGCCCTGACCAGGAATCAAACCCACAACCTTTCAGCCTATGATATGATGCTCCAATCAACTGAGCCACACACTGGTCAGAGCGCCAACTCTTATTCTAAAGCACAATTCCAAGACTGTAGTGTAAGGAATGGGGGTAGGGAGGTCAGGAAGAGGAATTCAATCACATTTGCAACATGACCACCGTTTCCACAGTCATTTTAAGCTTAGAGGCCTGAGACTTAGTGTAGCCAATGGACTATCTTCTATCCCCAGAGGCGGTAGAACAACAAGGAAATGTCCAATTATTAAGTGTAAGAAAAAGTGTCACATCAACACTGGATTGAAAGAGTAAAGAATGCTATAAATTCTGTAACATAATAGCACTGCTAAAGTGTGGTCACACAACTAAAAGCATCATGGTGCCACAAAACAATACTAGCTCTTGATAAGGGATGGATGGAAGAGATAGAATCCTGGGTTAGACCAGGTATTTTCACTTTCATGATCCCTTCAATAAATAACTGTTAAGAACCTAAGGCTTCCAATGAAAGTAATTCGGTAAACACTGAATATTTATTTTGCCACTTTTCTTCTTTTTTAAATTTTACTTTTCAATTATTTACATTTCAATATTATTCTGTATTAGTTTTAGGTGTACAGCATACCGATTAGACAACCACATACTTTACAAAGTGTTCCCCCCAGTATTTCAAGTACCCACCTGGCACCAAACATAGATATGACAACATTGTTGACTACATACCCTATGCTGTACTTTATATCCCTGAGGCTCTTCTGTACCTACAAATCAGTACCTCGTAATCCCTTCACTTTTTCCACCTAGTTTCCCAACTCCCCTCCCCTATGGCAACCATCAGTCTATTCTCTATATCTATATCTATTCTGTTTGTTTATTTTGTTGTGTATGTTCCACATGTAAATGAAATCATATGGCATTTGTCTTTCTGTCTAGCTTATTGCACTTAGCATGATATTCTCTAGGCCCATCCATGCTGTCACAAATGGTTAAGATCTCATTCTTTTTTATGGCAGAGTAATATTCCATTGTACATATGTACTACAATTTGGCTATTATAAATAACATCACAAGCCAATCATTTTCTTTTTTTAATTGATTATGCCATTACACTTGTTCTATTTCCTCCCCTCCGTTCCCTTCTACCCTGCACACCCCTCCCCTACCATTCCCCCCTTTAGTTCATGAACATGTGTCTCAAGTTCTTTAGAGTCTATATTTCCCCTACTATTCTTACCCTCCCCCCTATTTTCTATCTACTGTCTATGCTACTTATTCTCTGTACCTTCTCTCCCCTTCTCCTTCTCCCACTCCCCTGTTGCTAACCTTCCACTTGATCTTCATTTCTATAGTTCACTCCTGATCCAGCTGTCCTCTTAATCTGCTTTTGTTTTAGGTGTGGTTGTTGATAACTGTGAGTTTGCTGTCCTTTCACTGTTCATCTTTTTTTATCTTCTTTCTCTTAGGTAAGTCCCTTTAACATTTCATATAATAAAGGCTTGGTGATGATGAACTCCTTGAATTTGGTCTTATCTGAGAAGCACTTTATCTGTCCTTCCATTCTAAATGAAAACTTTGCTGGATAGAGCAATCTTGGTTGTAGGTCTTTGGTTTTCATGACTTGGAATACTTCTTTCCAGCACCTTCTTGCCTGTAATGTCTCTTTTGAGAAATCCACTGACAGTCTGATGGGAACTCCTTTGTAGGTAACTGTCCCCTTCCTTATCTCTTGCTGCTTCTAGGATTCTCTCCTTCATTTTAATCTTGGCTAATGTAATTATGATGTGCCTTGGTATGTTCCTTCTTGGGTCCAACTTCTTTGGGACTCTGAGAAGTCTTTGGGACATCTCTTTCCTGGAAGTCTATATTTCCTTTGCCAGAATGGGGAAGTTCTCCTTTTATTATTTGTTCAAATAAGGTTTACACTCATGACTGTTCCTCCTCCCCTTGTGGTACCCCTATAATTTGTATGTTGGAGCATTTAAAGATGTTCTGGAGGTTCCTAAGCCTCTCCTCATTTTTTTGAATTCTTGATTCTTCATCCTTTTCTGTTTGGTCATTTTTTTCTTCCTTCTGGTCCACTCCTTTGAGTCCCAGTTTCCTTTCCATTACTATTGGTTTCCTGTGCATTACCATTCATTTCAATTAGTTTAGCCTTCATATATTCCTCTAATTTGTGACTAAAATCAACCAGTTCTGTGAGCATCCTGATCACCAGTGTTTTGAACTGTGCATCTGAAAGTTTGGCTACTTCTTGGTCGCTTAGATTTACTGGCTCTTGGGCTCTGAGTTGTTCTTGAGCCATGTTTTGATCTGTTCGTGCCTGTTAGGTATGAGGAGTGGAGCCTTAGGTGTTCACCAGGGCAGGGCCACCCGGTTGCTGGGTTGTGATGCTGTATGTGGGGGCGGAGCCAGAGAGGGAACAATGGCAGTCCTCTCCGCTCACCCAGTCCACCTCACCTCCCCTCTCCCCCCCGCCTGTTTATCTGAGCACAAATGTGCGAGCCTGCCGCCCCACGCCTCATGGTCTCAATGCTCGCCTCTTCACTGGCTTATCTGCATGCAAATGTGTGACCAACCACAGACAGCCAGCCACGCCTCTTCCCTGTGTCCACCGGTAGCTAGCCCGCACCTGGGATCCGTGCCCTCAGCTGCCTGCACACTGCCCGGGTTGGGGATCTTTTTTGCCCAACCTGCTGTGCTGCTGGCTTCGCCCCTCTTACCGGTTTAGCTGAGCGGTTCATTGTTTTCAGACTCCGTATTGTCGATTTTCTGTGTGGTTTGGTTGCGTTTATTGTTGTTAAAACTTTGTTGTTTTTAGATTTGGTTGTACGAGGATGCAAAGTGTTTCCACCTACGCCTCCATCTTGGCGGAAGTCCGTCAATTATTTTTTAATACGATTTTCATCACAGTTAGTTTCTACATTAGCAAAGACATTAAATGTCTCTTCTAAATAATTGAGATTCTATTCAAAAGCCCTTTCTTTTAAAAAGAATCTACTAACTCAAAGAAAAAAACAGTAATGGTGTTCCTGTCAAAAGAATATAATCACACTCTGATTCCTTTTATAAAGTTAAACAGTTCAAAATAGTTATTCCCTTAAGGTTTTTTTAAAAAAGAAACCAATATGATCACATTCTCAAAGTCCATTCATCATTCACTATATACCACCTTTTACTTTCTGATTTCATTCACTAGGCTTCTTCATTTCATTCTGGTTACAATACATTCAAAAAGAAATTTGATTAACTTTATAGTAAAGTAACCGAGAACTGTTAGCAATTAATTCATGTAGAGTTCCTTATACTAAAAATATCCAAAGAAGTCAGATTCTTAAAAATCAAACCTGCTTTATAAGAATAGACTCATAACAAGCTTCCTTTGATAATCCATTAATTATGCACTTAAAATACAATTAAATTTTTTAAAATTCTACCAACAGACTTGCAAGCAGTGGATAATAACATACTGGTCACAGTGAAATGTAAGCTCTATAGTCATATTTTAAAAGTATGAAAGCCTTATCTCCCTTCTATTTTACACCAAAATTCTCTCGCATAGGATGATTTCTAATTTAAAAAGTATCACATATTAGATGTACTAAATAATTAGTCTGAATAATCACATACATGATCTCTTAAATGAGAAAGATTTGCATACTTACCAATGATGTCTGATCCTCAAATGGTCTTGTAATATTTTTCCTACAAATATATTTAAAAGGTGAGCCAAGTTTTAATAATCTTAATAAGTAATTCACCCATAACAACTAACATATAAGTAAATATAATTTTATATTCAGATGATCAAAAAAAAAAGAAGCTAGGAAGATATTCACTCATTGAAATATTTATTTAGGACCTATTCTGTGCCAGACTCTACTCTAGGAGCTAGAGATACCCTAATGCCATGTCAACAAGAGCCTTGCTTTCTTGGATATTACATTCTAGTGGAAAAATTACACAATTTCAAAAAATAACAATTATTGTGACAAAAATAAAATAAGGTATTCTTCAATGTGAAAAGTAGAAAATGAATATTTGAGCTGAGACCTGCAAAATGAGCAGTTAGCCGGAGTAAAGTTTTGGGGCTAAGAGTAGGAAGAGGGACTAGACTAAGCAAAGATTCTAAGATGAAAACAAGCATAGACTATTCAAGACACAGAAAGCAGGCAAGTGTCACTGGAACTTAGTGAGCAAAGGAACAACAGTGGTTAAAGATGTAGTACCTTTCTACATCTTTAGGCAGAGTTAGGGAATGTACATATTAAAAGAGAAAGGGAAGGCACTAAAGAATTTTAGGCAGGAGAGTAATATGAATGCATTCAAATTTTCTTTCCAAAGGACTGCTCTGTCTTCTATATGAGAATGGTAGGTAGTGTAGTAAGAGTGAATGGCATCAGTAAGGACCCATATAAGTAATATAGAAAAGAAACAAAAATGATGTAATGGACCACAACACTAGTAGAGGAGAAGGGGAAGCAGTAGGTAGAGAAATGGATAATATGCTATCTTTCCTGTAAAATAAGAATATATACTTTTATTTACTTAAATATGCATAAAGAAATTCTGGTAAAATACATGTAAGAAACTAGGGATGTTGGTTGTTCTGGAAAAATATATTTATATTTTCAGTGTATAATTATAATTTTTAATCAAAAAGTATAAAACAGTTTATAAGTTTTATGAATTTAAAGAGAAAACCATATATATATATATACACACAACATGATCTCAATTTTGTTTGAATAGTAACTGTACAGACATAAAAACAGATGAGCAACAATCATGTCAAAATGTATGGTGCTTATCTATGCATGATTATTTACTCATTATTGTAATTATCTAACATAAATACATCATTACTTTTTAAAAAAATATTCTATTTATTTTTAGAGAGAGGGGAAGGGAAGGAGAAAGAGTGGGAGAGAAACATCAATGTGTGGTTGTCTCTCGTGTGTCCCCTACCGGAAACTGGCCCGCAACCCAGGCATGTGCCCTGACTGGGAATTGAGCCCGCAACCCTTTGCCTCACAGGCCCGTGCTCAATCCACTGAGCTATACCAGCCAAGGCAATACATCATTACTTTTAAAAGAAGTAGCTTGATTAACAGCCAACAGCAATTCACAAATAAGTAAGTATGACCTGTTGGAAACATACAGAAGTATAAGTTAAAATATTTTCATTTATTAATTAAAAAATAAGTAAGCCCTGGCTGATGTGGCTCAGTGGATTGAGCGCCACCTTGTGGACAAAAGGCTGCCAGTTCAGTTCTCAGTCAGAGCACAAGCCTGGGTTGCAGGCCAGGTCCCCAGCTGGGGAGAGGCAACTGATGGATGTTTCTTCTCTCCCTCTTTCTCCCTCCCCGTCTCTCAAAAAAAAAAAAAAAAAAAAGGAAGGGAAGAAAGAAAGAAAGACAGGAAGAAAAAAAGGAAATCTTTAAAATAAAATAAAACCAATAATACAAAAGTAGGTAAAAGCCTATATAACTTTTTTATATTGTGCTCCATCAAAAGGATAAACTTTTCAAAAAACCAATGTTAATATGCTATATTAAGCATGAAGCTGTAACCTGTAAACACATGTCTAGGCACCTCATGTAGAATCTAATTCAAAAGATAACTCATTTATGTAAAAATGACCACTTTAGCATTACTTCTAAGGACAAAAAAGTGAAAAACCTAAATACCTCCATGTTAAGGAATAGTAAATTTTAGTATAACCATTTAATAGGCATTATACTGGCACACTGAAAGGACCACTATTTATAACATAAATGGAAAAGGCTTGATACAAAATTGCATGTACGGAACAACAGATAAATTTTAAATTCATTTTGCTAATGAAAGAATATGATGTCAAATATACAACACATGTTGTATAATTTGATTTACATGACATTCTGACAAAGGACTGTAAGGATGGAAAACAAGTCACTGGTTACAAGGGAGAGAAAGGGGGAGAACTATAAAGAGCACAGCACAAAGGAATTTTCAGGATAATGCAACTATTTCTGTATGGCTGTAGTTGTAGACACAACTCAATGCATCTGTCAAACCCCACAAAATTGTATACCACAAAGAGTAAATTTTACATACATAAACTAAAACCACCACCACGATGCAGCTGAAAACCCAAAATAAAATATAAACTGTAATAAATAACCCTAACTGTAGTATAAATAAATAACAATCACATTAAAGAAGGGAAGCAAACAAACAAAAAAGTATGTAACCTAAGTTATATTGGAAAACACTACTTTGGTTGGACACTGTAAGGTTAAAGACACAAAAAAAATTCTGTACTCTAGTTAGTACATTGTTTCTTATAGGGTTAGAAATTCTGAAACTATGTGTATACTAGAATTATACAAATAAATATAATAATGGAAGCCAGGTTTCTCACTGTTAGAAGAAGTTACAAATAAGAAAAGGAGAAAGATGGAAATGAATTCTGTGGTACAGGATTGAAATTGAAAGTATCATTATGAACTCAGGGTTTTTAAATATACAGTGTGGGACATAGTACATTTATAGTTGCTCATATGGAAAATAATAATTAGTAAATAGTAATACAAGAATAAAGAGTTTCATGTACTCACAACTGTAAACCTACTGTTGCTCCACCCCATGAAGATAAATATAAGCAAATGGAGATGTGCATGTATGCATAGGTTAATATATATAATATGCATTTTTAAGATCTGCCTGCCCAGAGCACCTAGACACAGTGACATTTCAGCAGCAACTTAGCACACTTAGTGCTCAGATCTTTGTTTCTCTAAGGCTCCACGGAGCAGGGGCTGATTCCAGGGCTGCAGCGAGGAAAATACAAGATGAGCCTGGAGTATGTTGGGGTCCCAGAAAGTAAGGACTCAAACAGGGTGCACGCTGAAAGGGCAGAGGAGCCAACCTGAGAGAGATCTCAATGGCCAAATGTAGAATAATATAAACCACAAAAATAAATAATAGCATGGGATTATAACTCAATATAGTAAGTATCTGTAAGCCCACACTTATATAAATAAATAAATAGAGAGAGAGACAGGAGACAGATTTTCTTTACAGAATTCGAATTAATAAATACAGAAGGAATGAGGAAAATAGAAAACCATTAAACCACCACTGTAATCACTGTTGTAGACCAGATCCACAGATGGATGCTAAAATTAGTAAGCAGAAGTTTCAGGAGAAAAAAGATTATTTGCATAGTCTTTGTATGGTCTCAAAGTATCTCTTCCAAACTGTAATGTACTAGTTACAAAGAGAAAAATAGTAACTTTATAGTGGAGAAACTCAGCAGACACCCCTTCAACCAAGGTTAATGCCACCAGTCTAACACATCATCATGTACTCCCTGGTGTGATTTTCTGAGAAAAAGCACATCACTGTGGTGGTATTCTTGCCAAAAATGCATAATCTCAATCTATTCATGAGAAACTTCAGGCAAATCCAAAATGAGGGATATTTTACAAAATAACTGAGGAGTATCAAGGTCATGAAAGACTGAGGAACTGTCACAAACTGGAGGAAACTATGGAGACATATTGACTAAATGCTATGTGGGATCCCGGTAGAGAAAAAGGACATTAGTGGAAAAATAGTTCCAAACCAAACCAAGCCTGCAATTTAGTTAACACTGTTGTACCGGTGTTAATTTCTTATTTTTTATCATTGCACTATGGTTATGCAAGATAAACATTAAGAGAAGCTGGTTGAAGGACATATGGGGAACTCGACTATTTTTTGCAACTTTTCTTAAGTCTAAAATTATTTCAAAATAATATATGCTACTATTACAATTATGTAAGACTATTCAATACATGTGAAAACAGACTGGACAGAAATAAATTTTAAGAAATACAAATAGCTATATGTAAGGAACTATAGTGTTTTTTAAAAAATATGTTCCTAAATCTTTCTTAAAGTGGCTGTTTGTTATTTTTATAATGAATTAATATAATTTAAAGTAAAATTATAAAAAAAAACTTACTTTTTATACAGGACTCCATATGGTTTTTTCAGTGCATACTGTAAAACATAATTTAAAGCTTTCAAAACAAAACACATTCGGTAAAGCAGAGGTAAAAATAAAGCATTGTAACAGTCATTATACAAGATTACTCTGCTCCCTAAACCGTATTCTGATGTCCTCTGCTTGGCTCCCTTTTGATCACTTACGACAACGTGCAGCATAAGCTTCGTATTTTAATTAAGCCTGGACTTACCTAGTTATAATTTTCTATGCCCCTTCAATAGTCTATCCAGCTTAAATGCTTCCCTTCATTTCTTTAAATTCTACCTACTCCATTCTTTCCAGGCAAACAATTTGAGAGTAAAAAGAGCAGAAAGAAATAGAAAAAATAAATACTACCAGGAAAAGCTGACAGAATTGAAATAGTATCTGGAAACGAGGAAACTGAAACAGTTATAATGATGGCAATCAGAATACTAGCCAGTTTAAGCCCTGGCTGGTGTGGCTCAGTGGATTGAGCACCGGCCTGCAAAATGAAGGGTCGCTGGTTGATTCCCATTCAGGGGACAGGCCTGGGTTGTGGGCCAGGTCCCCATCATGGGGCATGCAAGAGGCAACCACACACTGATGTTTCTCTCCCACTCTTTCTCCCTCCCTTCTCCTCTGCCTAAAAATAAATAAATAAAATCTTTAAATTTTTTTCCCTGTTTTTCAACCCTCTTTTCATTTTTCTTCCTACTTATTTTCACCCATCCACTAATAATCAACTTATTACATATATACAGTCAGTATTTCTGTGCCACAGGGAACAACAAAGATCTAAGACATTGCCTTGCATTACAGAAAGAGGTAAATGAAGGAAAACAATGAAAAATAAGGTGAAATGATCATTCATTAACTATTACTGCTGGTGAACAAAAGAAATCCACCAGCCCTGGCTGGTATGGCTTAGCTGGTTGGAGCACTGTCCCATGACTGAAAAGCTGCAAGTTCAGTTCCAGGTTGGGGCACATGCCTGGTTTGTGGGTTTGATCCACCCTGGTTCAGGTGTGTAAGGAGGCAACCTGCAGATGCTTCTCTTTTGCATCAGTGTTGCTCTCTCCCCTACCCCTTCCCCTCTCTCAAAGCAATGAAAAAAATATCCTCAGGTAAGGACAAGACAAAAAAAGAGGGAGAGAAGAAATTCCCCAGTAAAATCTATCTTTCTACTAACACTTATGATGATTCTTGACCACGTTTCACCACCTCTGTGGAATGAACATTACCACCTATTCCTTTTTTAAAAATTGATTTGAGAGAGAGAAGGGAGGGAGGGAGGAAGTAAGCCACACGAATCTCCTGTTCCACCCATTCATGCATTCACTGGTTGATCCTTGTCTGTGCCCAGACCGGGGATCAACGCTGCAACCTTGGAGTATGGGGACATCGCTCTAACTAACTGAGCGACCCAGCTAGGGCCATTACCACCAATTTTTGACAACTCAAGAGACATCAGTGAGTGTGAACTATAGTAATAATCTGTAATATTGCGCTGTTCTTACAGATTACGTAAACACAACATAGGGTTATTGTGTTGAAAGGATACTGGGAGGACAAGAGCAGTATCCCATCAACACAATGACATTCAGACAAACAAAAAGAATGAATATATGTTAGATAGCTGAATTGACTGCTGTTTAAAAATCATAGGGCGTTTAGTCAAGTTTCAAAATCTATTCAATTATTTAGTTGATTTAACTCCAAGAATCTATCTGCTGTACTCAGACACCTACTACAGACTATGCCTTTCACTCACTGATTAAACATTTACTGAGCAACTTACTATGTGCCAGATACTGGGCCAGACATCAGGCTACACAGGTACATAAAACTTTTATCTTCACCACTTAAATTACTGGTTCTAAACTGAACATATCACTCCCCCCCCCAAAGAACCTGCTCCACAAGATATATTCTTTAATTGGATTATCGCTCATCAAGCATCCAAGCAGTACCTGGTTAAGTCATACTTCTTACTCACGCACAAACTCTTCTAACCTTAACATCTATTCTCTCTGATTATCTCATTTTCATCATCACCACTGACCCTCTTTACCTGGCTGACAGCAAAGGCTTAAATAGTTCCCTACCTTTGTTTCAACCCTCTGTAGTCAAGTTGATTAAATGGATCAGATCTCTTACTTAAAATCTTTCAATGGTCCCACTGAGCTTTCAGAATAAACCTCAAACTCCATATTATGTTATCCCTACCTATTCTTCTAGTTTTCATATAGCCCACTTTTCTTTTGCCACCCCAATTATTTTCAGTTCCCCAAATGCATCATGATCCTTCACACTTTCTTGTTTTCTTTTTTATTAAAAAATATATTTTTTTAAAATTTATTCTCAGAGAGGGGAGAAAGAGAGGGAGAGAAACATCAATGTGTAAGAGAAACATCGATCAATTGCCACCTGCTTGCCCCCAACTGGGGACCCGGCCTGCAACCCAGGCATGTGCCCTGACAAGGAACTGAACTGGCAACCTTTTGGCTCGCATGCCAGTGCTCAATTCACTGAGCCATAACAGCCAGGGCCTTATTTATTTTCTTAATCCTCAGCCAAGTACATAGTCATTGATTTTAGAGAGGGGGAAGGGAGCAAGAAAGAGAGGGAGAGAAACTTTGATGTGAGAAACACCAACTGGTTGCCTTTTGTATACACCTCAATCGGGACCAAACGCACAACCCAGGCATGTGCTCTGCCTGGGAATTAAACCTGCATCCCTGCAGTTCACAGGCCAACCAACCAAGCCACACCACCCAGGACCACACTTCCTTTGAACAAGCTTTTTCCTCAGGCATAAAAAACATTCTCTTCCTCACCCAGATCTTGTTCCGAGGCTGCCAACCATCCCACCCAGTGCATGCTTCCAGCACAGCACTCAATTCACAATGCTGTAATTTTTTACTTGTCTGTCTCCCTGACTGCAGGAAGAGACTGTTTCCTCTAACTATTAATCCTCAGCACCTAACACGGTAACTGCTGTTGGTGAACAACTATATAGTAATATGCGGTTATTTCACTTTACAAGTTAGATATGTTCCTTAAATGTGAGTAAATCAAATGTTAAAATCAACTGCTTTAAGGAAAACCAGTACTCAGTGCCTCGGCAAGGCAAATAACCTCCAACTTGAGCTTTTCTCCAAGGCTAGCCCTTCTTAACTCATCTATGTATATATTTCTCCAGCAGCCCAACTCGTACACTGGAAATGTCCTAAATGATTTCAAAACCATTTAAAAAATATGTATATATACCTACCACATCCCTGAGCACTTGTGTCACCGTTGAGTTTGCATTTCCCCCTTTAATAAGCATGGCATTTTTAACATTTTCACTGAGCTTCGGCTCTCTCTTCTCAAGGAATCTCTTGGCTCTTTTCGTTTTGGGTTTTCTGTTCAGAAAAATCACAATTTATAACAACTTAAAATATTTTCCTCATATTATAAAACCATAACTTAGCTAATGTGCAAAATTTTTAAAATCAACAGAAACATTACATAACACTTATCTGTTAGGATTTCACCACTAAACAAAATCTCACTTTTTGGGGAGATAATTAGTAAAAAAAAAAAATTCAGTTATTACTGTTAAATAGGTTAATTTTATTAGCTTTTGAGTTTTTTTTAAATGGCTTTCATTTTAATATTCCCAACATTCTTTTATTACTGCTTCTTTATAAACCTTTTTTATTAAAGAGGGAAAAAAACTCAAGTGAATACTGTTGCTATTTTTACTTCATTTTTTTCCTCAATCTTAAGGCAGTCAAACTCTGTAACCTACCACAAAGAACTGCACACCGACTGCTGATCAACCTGTGGGCAGTTACTAAACATAAGGAGGCTCATTATTGGTTATCTTTTCTCCAGGTTTAAGACCACAATGCTTGCCAAGAATTATACACTATCCCACTCCAACAAAACTGCTGAGAAAGTCACACATTATTGTCATCAAAAGGGAATAATGACTGATACTTATTTATAGAATCATTCTATTAAGGCTTAACCTTCACCAAGACCCTAGGAGACAAGTTCAGTTATTATCCTCCCTCATTTTGTAGATGAGGACCATGAAGCCAGAGAGGTAGTATGCCGAAGGTTACAGAGCTTGTAAATAGTCAGAATCTTCAAAATGAGCTAATTTTAAAACTCATCTAGACCAATCACCCTGCAAAATACGAGGGGAAAACAAATTCAGTGTTCTCATTTTATAATGTGACAGGAGAGATAGAATGTGTTTTACACATTCCTGTTCAGAAAAAGAGCTTCACCTCTGCTTCCACTACAGTGAGATCTTGCTTTTCCAACAGTTCTCTGCCATTTACTGAAAGAATTCCTCCTCTCTTAAATAATGATGACCATCCCTCCTTCTACCACTCCCGATGGACACTTCAGGAAGGAGGGAAAAAACCGAAACCGAATGTACACACACTTTGGCTTACCATGCAAATTTTTAAAAATTCTCCTCCAGATAAAATGTCAAGCATATATAAATGCTTGACATATATTCTCCTAATAGAAAAGCACATATATTCTCCTAATAATTTATTGGTTGATACAGACATTATTTACTAAATCAAGATATATTTAGTGTGTCTATATGGCAGTATAAATGCTATTTATATTATACATGTACTTTCGAGATAGTTACTTCTCACCAACCAGCAAAAAAAATGCAAGTAACACCTTATGTTTTATTCGTTCCCCAAGTAGATCGTAAACTAGTCTTACTCATCTTTTGCAGTCCCCACATCTAGAGGAATATATAGCAAATTCATTTTAGAAACCTCTAAATTAATGACTAAAAGAATACTTTGTTGTTTACACGTTAACCCAGGTATTGGAAGAAAGCAACAGCAAATAACAGCAGGAATATTTAGGAGACAAACAAGTATTTTTCGAATTAGTTTAAGGATAAATCAGGGAAGTGTACATGGTTGGGAAGAAACGAAAAGCTAATGAGCATTTTTACGCGCTGTAGCAAAGGCTTACATACGTTCTCCCAACAAACCTCACAGTTCTATGAGGTACCTTTAAATCGTAGAGGTACGATTATGAACGCTATTTCACCAAGTGAGACCTGGAGAAATTAAATTGTCCAATGCCAAAAAGCATAAGTGGACGCGCCTAGTCTGTCATCTACATCTGTCAGACAGATTCCGAGGCCTGTGCTTATAATCCCCGACTCTTCCACCTCCCTCACATCTCGGAAATCGCAACATCTGCATTTGGCTACAATAAAAAAGCGGCCAAAACTTCTCTGCAACCTCTCCCCTCAACCGCCCCGCTCTGCGGCTACCACGGTGGGCTTCCCCGCGATCCCGCTCGGGGCAGGCAGACTAACCCAGAAAAACCCAGACTAGCGAACCGATCGGCCTCCACCCGTCTGGCTGGCAGAAGGTGTGAGGAACCAGGAGGGGATGCAGGAACTACATCACTCCACTCCTCCACTGGCGCCCCTCTCCCAACGTTGCCCGTGGCTGGGAGCCAGGAAACTTACACAACCCGATCCAAAGCGTCCATCGCTACAGCAAGGCGATCTAAACGTGAACGAACACACGTGCACCGCGCAGTTACCGCGAGATGACAGTGACCGGAAACAGGCGGAACCGGAACTGTAGTGTGACGCCAGTTCCGGGGCCGGCGCTTCATGGATGCTAAGAGGCACCGGCGGAGAGTTTGGAAGGAATCGCGTTCTGCTCCCTTGGTTACGGGTGTTTGTGGAGCTTCTGTCCTGGAAATCGATGTTCAGGGACCTAGTGCTCTCTCGGACTGCCCCTGGATTGTAAAAAGGTTGATAGGTACTTACGTGATCAGAAGAAATAGATTAGTGTGAGATGTGCACAAAATTACGCTTCGGATTGTGATTTTTGTTCCAATTTTTTAATTGCCATACACTTAACATGCCCTTAAATTTACCCCCGTAAAGTGTACAATTCAGTAGTTTTTCGTTATATTCACAAGGATGTATCACCATCACCACTATTCGCAGAACACTGTATCTCCCCAAAAGGAAATATCCCCCCTTCGCAACAAAGTAGCAGTCACTCCCTATTTTCCCCTCCTGTCATCCTCTGGCAACCAGTAGTCTATGTCTCCGTGGATTTACCTGTTCTGAACACCATACAAATGGATTCAAACCACATGTGGCCTTTTGTGTCAGGCTTGTTTCATTTTGTATGATCATATGTATCTGTGTTTAAGGTCCATATATATGCTGTAGCATGTGTCAGTAATTCACTTATTTTTTGAGGGTTGAATAATATTCCATTCTATGAATATACATTTGTTTATCCACTCAAAAAATTATGGACATTTGGGTTATTTCCACATTTTGAGTATTAATGAATTATGCCGTTTTAAACATTCATGTACAAGTTCTCCAGTAGACTTTTATTTTCAACTCCCTAAACGCACCTGGATCATATACTTAGTATTCTGAGGAACGATCAAATTATTTTCACCTGCACATTTTACATTCTCATTAGCAATGTAGGAGTGTTTGGCATTGGTTTTTCTATTGTTGCTGTAACAGATTACCATGATTACTGGCTTAAATAACACAAATTTATTATTACAGTTCTGAAAGTCGTAAGTCTGAAATTAGTTTTGCAGGTCAAAAGTTAAAATGTCAGTAGGACTGCATTCTCTTGGAATGCTCCAGGGAATGATCTGTTTCTGTGCATTTTCTAGATTCTAGAAGCCATCTGCATTCCATGGGGTTCTTCCATCTCCAAAAAGCATTGACTGATCTTGTTTCCATTGTCACATCTTTTTCTCTGACTCTGACGCAACTGACTGACTCCCTCTCATAAGACCCCTGTGGCCCTAATGTATGTGGCTTTGTTTGTTGGAGTCTTGTCCCATAACCTAAAGGTTGCAGGTTCAATTCCCTGTTAGGTCACATACCTAGGTTGTGGGTGTACCAGTAATCCCTGGTCCCGGGATATTTTTAAATTTGTCTCAAGATTTATTCTTTGACCATGTGTCATTTAGGAATGTGTTGTTGAATCTCTTGAACATTTTGGAATTTTCTAGCTCTTTCTGTTCTTGATTTCTAGTTTAATTCCATTGTTGTTTGACAGCAGACATTATATATTGATCTTTTTATATTTGTTAAGGTGTGCTCTGTGGCCCCCCAGTGTAATGTGTTGGTGAATGTTCCATATGATCTTGGGATGTATGATATATTCTGCTACAACTGTGTAAAGTTGTCTATAGCTGTCCATTATATCCAGTTGATTGATGGTGTTGAATTCTAATGTCCTTACTGATTTTCTGCCTGTTGAATCTATCAATTTCTGATAAAGAGGTGTTAAAAGTATCCAACTATACACCCTGGCTGGTGTGGCTCAGTGGGTTGGGTGCCAGCCTGTGAACCAAAAGGTTACCAGTTCCATACCCAGTCAGGGCACATGCCCGGGTTGCAGGTCAGGTTCCCAGTTGAGGGCAGGCATGAGGAAGGCAACCAATTGATGTATCTCTTATACATCAATGTTTGTATCCCTCTTTCTCCCTCCTTTCCCTTTTCTCTGCAAATAAATAAAATCTTTTTTAAAAAAAGTATGCAACTATAATATTAGATTCATGTACTTCTCCTTGCAGTTCCATCAGATTTTGCTTATGTATTTTCACTCCTTTTAGGCACATAGACGTTAAGAATTGTTATGTCTCCTTGGAGAATTGAACCTTTACCAATATGCAATGCCCCTCTTTATCCCTGATAACTTTCCTGAGGTCTTCTCCATCTGAAACTAATATAGCTACTTCCACTTTCTTTTGATTAATTTTACCTTGGTATATGTTTCTGTAGCATTATTTTTAATCTGTGTCTTTATATATAAAGTGGGTTTCTTATAGACAACATCGAGTTGGGTCTTGTTTCTCGAACCACTCTGACAATCTGTTTTAATTAGTGCAATTGGACCACTGACATTCAAAATGATTTTTTATAAAGTTGAATTAATATCTACTATATATACTGTTTTCTATACATTGCCACATTCTTTGTATTTTCTCTCCCAATCTTCTTCTGCCTTTTGCAGCTTAATTGAACATGCTATATAATTCCACTTTCTCTTCTTTCTTAGCATACTTGGTTATACTTCTAAAACATTTTTTAGAGATTGCCTTCTATAGCACATAGACCCAGGGAAAGGCCCGGAGACTGAAAATCTACCTCCACAAGCAGAGGGCAGTGAAAGACTGAAGAAAAAGGCTGGCCACTTCCGTATGATGATTAGTAGTTCATCAAGGGAAACTTACAGAAGAGGTGCGTTTTGGGAAGATGCAAGATGAAATGGACCCCTGCGCCACTTGGCAGGTGTTACATAGGGTGAAGTGGAGGAGGACTGACAGGGGTATTAGTACCTGAATGCTCCCAGGTACAAGGAATTACATGCTTGACCAGGCCAGGCCAACGGCCTGTTCCAGGAACCAGCACGTAACAAACAGGTGGCACGGATAGGGGTGCTGGTGCACATCAAAATGAACATCAATTATAACCTCTAAGGGAGGCCTTAATTGATGACCATCTCTATTCTGGCCATTAGTTCTGGTCCAGCTCATGTGTCAGACAGCAGTCATGTTTCCAGAAGCTGGAAAAAGGATTTTTAGGAAATGGATTTCCCTCTTGGAGCCTCCAGAAGCAATGCAGCCCTACCAACACCTTGATCTTATCTCCCTAAGATTGAATCTTGGAATTTGACCTCCAGAATTATAAAATAATAAGTTTATGTGGTTCTAAGCTACTAAGTTTGTGGTAATTTGCTACAGCAGCAGTAGCACACTGTCACAAATTGGGAGCATGGAATATGAGTAGGAAATAGAAGCTTGTTAAGATATGAAAATGAAAATCTTATTTTGGATATGAGAAAACTAGAACCTTGGCCTTGACATTTTTATTAATGATATACAAGTGTGACTACATTAAACCCAGATACAAAATACCAGTAACCCACCCCTCCAAATATGAACAACAGAACTTTTAAAAAAATTTTGAGAGTACCTTTGTTAAAGCTGGGACAGTGAAACGAGGAAGGAGTTAGGATAGAAGCAACAGAAGAGCCTAGCAGGGCTGCTTTGGCTCACCGAGAAGTCATAGAAGAGGGGCCTTGGAAACAGGTTTTAGGGGTTAGCCTGGGACGAGCTATCACTGACCATTACTTCCCTGGTTGCAAGTCTCTTGGGGACCCTTAAAGTTTAGGAGATGAGTTCCTGAGAGGAAGAACAGGGAGAAGGAGAAGACATGGGCACGCTCCCCAGACAGGGAGCACATCAGAAAAAGATTTTCAAAGAAAGAAAAAAAACGCCTAGAAACTACAAATTGTCATTAAAAAGGCATATTCACTCTGCAATGGATTAATAATGTACAGTGTACTTCTAGACAATTTTATAAACAGGATTTTCTTATTCTACCAGGAAAAACGATGGAAGTCATAAAAGAGAGTCGTAAAATCCATTTCCAAAAACCACTAAGAACATTTCTGGAAGATTGCTCTATGCAAGCCTGATACATTTAGAAGCTTGTTCAGTTTCACCTAAGCTGTAAGAACAAAAGGAAATGAAAACAGTAGGTTCTAAAAAAAAAAAAAAAAAAACAAAAAACTTAAACTGCTGCTAAATGAATAGAAAAGCATCTATCAACAGCTTCACTAAACTGGTCATATCTGTCAATAAACTTGTTATGATCATCCATCTATGACATAACAAATGAATGGATTTTCAAAGATTTCAATAATGGCCTGAAGGAATAATTCCCACTGAGGCAGCTTAACAACACAGCCCTTTTGAATAGACTATTATTTGTGAGCAGAAGCCCCCCATTGCATTCAACGACAGTAGTATTTAGTGTGATGCTACATAGGGACTGGCTCCACGATTAGCTTGTAAGTAACCCTAGTAAGTTAGTAAGAAAGATTAATGGTGTAGAAATTCTAGTTTTACAAAATATTTCACTGTTGAAAAATAAGATTTTACTCAATTCCAAGCATTTCATCTTAACATGTAAGAAGCTGAAACATGTGTTCTCTTCAGAATTTATGACTGTATTTTCCTCTTCAATTTAAGGTACAACGTACCTCACAGTTTAGATGTTTCTTTTGCAAGATTACAAATCTCGAGAATCTTCCAGTCAACTTCTTTATACTTTCCTAAATATTTAAAGTTTGCTGAAATGCATAATGTATCAATTAGGAGTGTGTGCTTATTATAGTGATTTAAGTTCTTTCTTTCTCAGGTAAAGACCAGGGGTGCAGTTACAATGGACAGCAGTAGTCGTCAAGGGTTTGGAATGACAGTCACGCTCACAGGTCCCAGCCTGGCACTAGACTCACTTACCTTTATAGGAAATGTCACAACAGCATGAGCCTTGTTTCAGCAGGAGTCTTTACTCCAGTTGCCTAAGTGTCAACGCAGATGTAAGGAAACAAGACCATTTGGGTGGGTGCAAAAGCCATGCTGGCTTAGAAGCTTCATGCTCCCTAAGCATGAAGAACCAGTATCTCTTGAAATAGTATGAGCGTAGCTTCAAGGGATCTTAGTAATAAGAAACATACACTCTTTTTAAAGCCCAAAGCCCACCCTACCTAGGTAGCTCAATCGGTTAGAGCATCATCCCAAGACACCAAGGTTGCAGGTTCAATCCCTGGTGAGGGTGCACACAAGGAACCACCAATGAATACATAAATAAGTGGAGGAGCAAATTGGTGTTTCTCTCTCTCCCCTTTCCTCTCTCTAAAAATCAATAATTAAAAGAAGTTTTAAGTCCAAAGCCCATGTTTTCCAATGGCTATTTATAGTTCTTTTCACAGTCTTGATCCACTTACAATTTACCAGCAATCATTTTTCATCATAAACAATATCGCCTGGCATCACAGCTGTTTTTTTTTAGTATCTTGTCTAGTAAGTTTCCAGAGAAAACAGTTTTGAAAGGTAAGTGTGAGGTCTTTTTACTGAGAGAACTTAATTAACTCTACTCAGAGCCACCCAGGGCAGAACCATAAAGTTAGGGCCCAACCTTCTGCCTCACTTTGCCACCCACGGCTTCTATTTCTAAGGTTCCTTCATAGTCCAGGAAGCCTGCTGCAGCTCAGTGTTCTAGCAGGAAGAAAGAGAGGACAAGCGGGCCCATTTCCTTTCACACCTAAAGTTTAAGGAAACTTCCCAGAATTACCCATCACTCAACACTTCTGCTTCTATGACATTGGCCAGGACTTAGTCATATGGCCATATGTATATATATATATGTATCAAGGAAAGCTGGGCACACTGATGACCTGAGTAAATTCTGGGGTTCTATTACAAAGAAAAAATGAAATAGATACCAGGTCAGGTAATTAGCAGTCTCCCCTACACATACATACGGTGTGGAATATAAGCTTTTTATTAAACAAAAGCTGAAACTAAGGAAGTCATATAAAAAATGGGAAGATACACATGCTTGTAATTCGGAAATGTTTTTAATCAAGGTAAATTGTTTTTTGTAAAGAGTTACAAAACTTAAGAAAAAATAATTCTATAACATTAGTTCTCTAACTTCTCATACATAGTTATATTTTCTAACAGTTATGATTAATTAATGTAGATGTGTTTTAACTTACTAGTAACAGGTTAAACCCCATGAAATTGCCTGCTTTTTATAGTCTGAAACAATCAAATATTGGCAATTTCATGGTTCGATCTGTAACAAGGTATAGTTTGTCAATATTTTATGTACAAATACAAATTAGAGCAGATCTAGGTCATCATCAGAATAGAGTGGCTGTTACGGCCAAACTCCAATAACCTTTCTCGAGTGGTAAAGGAACGGAGTTACAGCTGGAATAGCAGGAATGTTACCTTTATCCTTAAGCACTTCTGAATTATTTTTCTGTTCCCAGACACATACTTACTGTGGTATGGTAGACTGGATAATGCCACTGCCCCTTGCCCCCACAAAGATTCTCATGCCCTACTGTTCAGTTCTATACCTGTTTATGTTAAGTGACATGGCAATAGGGACTTCACAGATCAATTAAAAGTCACAGAAGAGGGGCCTTAGAAACAGGTTTAGGGGGTTAGCCTGTTTCTTTAAAGGTTATAGACCTTAAAAGAGCGAAATCATTCAGATGGACTCAATGTATTCAAATGGACCATTAAAAGTGGAAGGCAAGAAAGGCTGGTCAGAAATAGGATAATAGAAGAAGCAAAATAAATTTTAAGCAGGAGAGAAACTTGACCTGCCATTGCTGGCTTTGAGGAGAAGTGCACCATGAGCAGGTAGCCCTAGAAGATTAGAATGGCCTTTAGCTGACAGGGAAATGGAAGCTTGACCCTTCCATCGCAAGGAAATGTCATCTCTACCCCTACCTCCCACTCCAGAAAAGAATGAAGTCCTCCCTACACCTTGATTTTAGCCCAGGTGAGACCCATGTCAGACTGCTGGCCTACAAAACTGTAAGAAAATAAATACATTTGCATTGTTTTTATCAAAGTTTGTGGTAATCTGTAATAGCTGCAATAGAAAACTTATACACTTACCTTAGTAAACCTCTAATTTAAAGGACTCATCAGAGAAGTTTTCCTATAGTTATTTTAACCAATTTTTTAAAATTCCATTTATATCTGGTCCTTAATGTCTCTGGCATATTAAGTTGGAGCTATAACTGAAAATATTATCAATAAAAATAATATAAGAATGAATTGAAAGCTTCACAGGCAATTATTTTATATAAAACTTTTCAAAGTTCATCACTATTTATTTCATTTAGGAGTGACTTCTAAGGCAGTATCTTGAGTTTCCATAAAAACAGAATTTTCTGTTTCAGAAGAAATACTGGTAAGAGGCACAGAATGCTCTGTTTCCAAGTGTGGCGGTTTCTCCTGTTCATAATTCAGGTTTGAATTATCTTCCATTTGCATCTCTTGTTCTTCCAACTCCAAAGGTTTACCTGGGGCTGGGGCTACTTCCTCATCTTCATTTTCATGGAGAAAACTACACATCATGTTGGGTCTATAGGAGAAATCATTGTCTTTGATTTGCAGCCATTCCACACCGTCTAATTGGGGCGGAAGGGGTGGTGGTAAAGAGTGGGAAGACAAACCAAGAAAGAAACATGAAAAAGGAATTTTAGTTACTTAAGTATATTTTCTTTAAATTTCCATCATATCATATACGTCAAAATAAAACCTCAACATGAACCAAGGTAACTACTGATAAACAATGACACAATTTCCATCTTATATGGAGACCTTGTTATGCTTACAGGGCACACATCATCAAAATCACTAAAAGTAACCTACTGCAGTTATTATTCTAAGCTTTTTCTTCTTTTTAAAGATTTATTTTTAGAGAGAGGCGAAGGGAGGGAGGGCGAGAGAAAGAGAAACACTGATCTGTGAAAAATTGTTCAGTTGCTTCTCACACATCCCCAACTGGGGACCAGGCCTTCAAACGAGGCATGTTCCCTGACTGGGAATCAAACCAGTGACCTTTCAATTTGTCGGATTATACTCAACCAGCTGAGCTACACCAGTCAGGGCCAAGCCTTCCCCCCCACAGTTCAATTCCCATCTCATTCTGAGAGATAGTTGAGCTCTTACCGCCATTTCATGCCTTAAAGAAAACTGTCACTTCTCTACCATTGTCTCCTTACCCACTTAGTTTTCATAACGCCATGGATGATTCTATTCTATCACCTCAAATTTAGCACTTATGTTATTTTGAGTTGGGACGTCCAATTGCAAAATAACATACCGCTCAAAAAATAAAACTTGAAAAAATGTTTGTTCCTTTCCATACTCACAGTCAAAGCCATAATCCTTCAATACACCTCTATAATCAATAACTATTCCAGCCCTGGTTGATGTGGTTCAGTGGACTGAGTGCTGGCCTGCAAACTGCAAGGTCGCTGGTTCCATTCCCAGTCAGGGCACAGGCCTGGGTTGCAGGCCAGGTCCCAGGTTGGGGTGTGCCAGAAGCAACCAGTTGATTTGTCTCTCGCACACTGATGTTTCTCTCCCTCACCTTCTCCATCCCTTCCTCTCTTTTTAAACATAAAATAAAATCTTAAAAAGAAAAGAATTATTCCAATGCTTTTTTTGTTTATTCTTGTTACCCTTACAGGCAAATATTTTCAATGGATCTTCACTAATTTTTTTTCCTCATTAATTTCTTTAGCAAGCCCAAGCTGTTTAGTGTCAACCTTAAATTCCATTAGCTGTTAAGATACTCCAACGTATATTGCCACCCTATTCAAATTTCCATCTGTTCCTATTCCTCACTACAAACTCTTCTGCAGCTGTTTGTTGAAACTTCCTAACTGCTGACCCATGTCTTCTCATGTTATTCCTATAAAGTCACCATCAAAAATTGATTAGTCCTTCCCTCCCCTTCCCTCCCTCAGATAATAAATAAAATCTTAAAAAAAAAATTGATTAGTCCTTTTCTCTCCAGTTCAGCTTCAACTACCGGCTTTCATATTTTTCCCTGCAGGAGCAATGTCCTGCCACTTCCCCTTGCAGCCATTCTTTACTCTTAGTTAGCATAATACTTGCCACAAAGCAGGTACTTAAAATACCATATTTTGCCAGGTATAATGTGCACACACATTTTTGGCCCAAACTTTCAGGAAAAAAAATATTTTAATTTTTTAATTCAATTATTTGTTTTTTTTATATTTTGAAACAAAAGCAATTATCATATTCCAGGATGTCATTTTGCATATGGATATCATTATTGCTTTCTAGAGTTACACTTTTAACACATAAGCATAAATAAACTAATTAACATTTATATAGACATGGAATTAGTACTACCCATGTATAATGTGCATCCTTATTTTTCCCTAAAAAAATCTGGGCAACTTCCGCCAAGGTGGAGGCATAGGTGGAAGCACTGCGCCTTCTCACACAACTAAGTTTAAAAACAACAAACTTTTAGCAACAAAAACGCAGCCAAACCACAGAAAATTGAACTACACGGAAGTCTGACAATAACGAACCCTTCAGCCAAACCGGTAAGAGGGGCAGAGCCAGCAGCAGAGTGGGGTCAGGTAGGAAAGATCCACCAGACCAACCCGGGCGCGAGACCCAGGTGCACCAGCAGCCGTGGGCACATCCGAGGTGTGGAGTAGCAGGCAGACCCACTGAGGGTGCAAGGTAGTGGGATCCACTGAGGGCTGACCACGGGCACACATTCGCGCGCACATAAACCGGTAAAGGAGCGAGCAGTGAGACAGACCGTGAAGGCCCCAGTGGCAAGAAGCAGCAGAGGGAACCGCCATTGTCCCTCTCTGACCCTGCCCCCACATACAGTGTCACAAAACAGCGACTTGGATTGCCCTACCCTGGTGAACACCTAAGGCTCTGCCCCTCATATGTAACAGGCACGAACAGATCAAAACACGGCTCAAGCACAACTCAGAGCCCCAGAGCTGATAAATCTAAGCAATGAAGAAATAGCCAAACTTTCAGATGCACAGTTCGAAACACTGGTGATCAGGATGCTCACAGAACTGGTTGATTTTAGTCACAAATTAGAGGAACATATGAAGGTTAAACTAATTGAAATGAAGGGAAATACACAGGAAACCAATAGAGATGGAAAGGAAACTGGGACTCAAATCAAAGGAGTGGACCAGAAGGAGAAAAAAAAATGACCAAACAGAAAAGGATGAAGAAACAAGAATTCAAAAAAATGAGGAGAGGCTTAGGAACCTTCAGGACATCTTTAAACATTCCAACATCCGAATTATAGGGGTACCAGAAGGGGAAGAGGAAGAGCCACCAGTGGAAAACTTATTTGAACAAATAATAAAAGAGAACTTCCCCATTCTGGCAAAGGAAATAGACTTCCAGGAAATCCAGGAAGCTCAGAGAGTCCCAAAGAAGTTGGACCCAAGAAGGAACACACCAAGGCACATCATCATTACATTAGCCAAGATTAAAATGAAGGAGAGAATCCTGGAAGCAGCAAGAGATAAGGGGACTGTCACCTACAAAGGAGTTCCCATCAGACTGTCAGCAGATTTCTCAAAAGAGATGTTACAGGCAAGAAGGGGGTGGAAAGAAGTATTCCAAATCATGAAATCCAAAGACCTACAACCAAAATTGCTCTATCCAGCAAGGCTTTCATTTAGAATGGAAGGGCAGATAAAGTGCTTCTCAGATAAGATCAAATTCAAGGAGTTCATCATCACCAAGCCCTTATTATATGAAATGTTAAAGGGACTTACCTAAGAAAAAGAAGATAAAAAAGATGAACAGTGAAAGGACAGCAAACTCACAGTTACTAAGAACCACACCTAAAACAAAAGCAAACTAAAAGGACAGCTAGATCAGGAGCGGAACCATAGAAATGAAGATCACATGGAGGGTTAGCAACAGGGGAGTGGGAGGAGGAGAAGGGGGGAGAAGGTACAGAAAATAAGTAGCATAGATGGTAGGTAGAAAATAGATAGGGGGGAGGGCAAGAATAGTATGGGAAATATAGAATCTAAAGAACTTGTGACACATGGACATAAATTAAAAGGGGGGATGGTGGGGGAGGGGGTATACAGGGTGGAAGGGAATGAAGGGGGGAATAGAACTGTAATGGCATAATTAATAAAATATGTTAAAAAATATAAAAATCTGGGCAAAAAAGTGCACATTATACACAGCAAAATACAGTAAGCTGAATGAAATGAATGTTGTACATTCAGCCATGTGCATCAATGGGATTTACTTTTAAATGCAATTTCCTAGAAAGTAAGGGCCACGTCTCCTATCTATTCTGTTCTGCCTCCAGCATACTGCCACATTTGATAGCCATCATCCAGTCCGTCTCCAATGATCCTCACCTTCCTGGTATTCAAGCTCATGTACTCCTCTCCCACACTCAACGGGACATTGTAGAAATGACAGAGTGACTTCTAAGGCTGGTTCATAAAAGACATCATGGCTTCTATCTTGTTCTCCCGGATCATCTGATCTGGGATAAGCCAGCTCTCATATCAGGAGGGCACTCAAACAGTACTATGGAGATTCAAGGAACTGAGGTCTCATGCTAACAGCCAGCACAAACTTGCCAGTCATGTGAGTGAGCTATCTCGTAATTAGATCTTCCAGCCTTACTCAAGCCTTCTGATGCTTGCAGCCCAGCTAACATACTGACTGGGACCTCATGAGAGGCCCCAAGCCAGAACCACCTAGTTTAGCGACTCCCAAACTCTAGATTCACAGAGACTATGTAAGACACTGGGTTCTTTTCACTGTTGTTATAAGCCATTAAGTTCATGGGTAATTTCATATGCAGCAATAAATAACTAATACAGCCTTAAATAACTGGTTACTAATTTATTTGATTAAACAAAACACCCAAATCTTCATAAGGATCTATTAGGTTATTAAAGACAACAGGAGAGGAAATTCTGTAATTTCCTTATCTTAATAATCAGAGTATCTAGATGCTAGCCCAGCTTATCTAAATAGGTCTCCTTTTCAAGTTCATTCTAGAACTTCAAAATTCCTCCCTCTTTCTGTTATTTTCAAAGTGCCTAAAAAAGGGGGATAGTTTGGGTATATGCCCAGTAGGAACCAAAATTTCTTATGTAGTTATGTGTAGTTGGTATAATTAATTTCTGCATGGCTAATGTACTTTCAAATGTTTACTCCTTAAAATACAATATATCTATTAAGCCATAAATATTCATCACTAAAGTCACATTTATGAGAGTTTTAAATATGTCTTTGAGCAATGAGCTTTTAGAATTATTTTTTATTTTCTTAATCCTCTCCCAAGGATATATTCATTGATTCTAGAGGGAAGAAAGAGAGACACAGAGAGTGAGAGAGAGAGAGATTATGTGAGAGAGAAACGATTGGTTGCCTATTGTACACACCCCGATCAGGTACTGAGCCTGCAACCCAGGCATGTGTCCTGACCAGGAATCAACCCATGACCTTTTGGTGCACTAGGCGATGCTGCAATCTGTGCCACCCATCCAGGGTGAGCAATGAGCTTCTAAACCATCAGGGGATTATTTGTTCATCTCTACAAATATGTAACTGCTAAAGTGCAAGCAGCACTGGTCTAAATCTAATCTCAGACAATAAGCAACTAGAGAAAATTAAATGAATGCTAATTAAGAACCAGACTCAGGAATATCAACTGTGGCCCTAGAATCTAATCTCGGACAATAAGCAACTAGAGAAAAATAAATGAATGTTAATTAAGAACCAGACTCAGGAATATCAACTGTGCTCTTAGAGTCCCTCCTCACACATAAAACTAGCTTCTTTCAGTTCTAAGTTTCTTAGGGAGGGTTGCTACAGCTGCCAAGTTTCCAGGAGATCCTCTGAGGGTACACCTTGGGAATCCAGAACTGCTAATACATCTTCCCCACTTACAAAGAATTTTAATTAAGAAAAAAAAAAAGGCAACTGCTGATTTCCCTAGGGGTTGGAAATCACATCAAGCTTCTCGACAAACACCTCCCAAATATTTCCAATGCAAAGCAGAGATTTCCTATATGTTTTCAGTGTGCTCTGCTACATTAGAGTTCAACTGACTTTACTTATTATTATTATTATTATTATTTTCCTCATCTGAGGATTTTTTTTCAATATTTTTAGAGAGAGAGGAAGGGAGAAAGAGAAATATCAATGTGAGAGAAACATCAATTGGCTGCCCCCCATACACGCCCAGACCAGGGATTGGACTGGTAACCTGTGGATGTTCCCTGACCAGGAACTGAACTCGAAACCCTTTGATTACGGGACGATGCTCCAACCGAGCCACACTGGTCCAGGCTTGAACTCAATTTTAAATCTATCTTTGGTACTTTTCATGGAGTATCTTCAATAACATATTTAAGATATTACACAGTTATTACTACAAAGTACAACAATGCTCCCTCCGGTAGCAATGTGTCACTGTCAAAGCCAATATTAAATCACCTGTCTTCAGAGAACTACGTGAACTAACCTATGTTTTCTTCTCCTTCCTTCTTTTCTGTCAGGAGAGTTCTTGTCATGCTGAGCTTCTTCATTGTATGGCATTTATATTTTAGCATTGTTTTATTGTTACCTTCTGCATCCACTAGAACATAAAATGAGCTCAATTAATATACTGCTTAATGCGGTATAATAAAATAAAATAATCATGTTAACCCTCGATAATTCCAATTTAGGCAGTTAGACTAAACTACTTCTTGTCTAGATAGTTGAATAAGTTTAAAATTTAACTCATTTCCTCCCATTCCAAGCAGAGAAATGACAGATAAAATACAGTAACAATGGAAGGCAGAACTGGACGCTAAACAACAAACAACTCCAGGGTACAGCCACACAAAGCTATGTGTGAGATTAAAACTCAAAGCTATGGGCCTACTAGGCTCCAGCCCTGAAGGAGGAAAGTGAAGCCAGAAATTTGGCTCTATAGGGTTATAGAGGTCTAAAATTCTATCACACAAATGAAGGACCAAAGTGACACTTTCTACTTAAAGCCAGAGGCTAGAGTCAGGACGTTGTCAATCATGAAAGAAAGCTGAGAAATAAACATGATGCCAGCCCACTGCTTGGGAACAGAGCTTTATAGAAAACCGTGGGCATAGGCAGGAGGGAAGATGAGGCTCTGAGCTAAGGATGTGAAATGCACAGCAAACTTCCATACACTGCTGCTGTGAATGTAACAAATACATGTTAGAAAGCAACAGTCAGTCAAACCACATGAAATTGTCAATACTCAGGCTAATCGGTTATTTCATATTGTTGAACCAAACACACAGTCATTGATCTAGCAATTCTATTACTAAATATATACCTTAAACATTTTTACACATAGACAAGGAGACATAAAAATATTCATGGAAGCACTTTTGTAGTGCATTGATAAGCATAATTAAGTAAATGGGCTCTGGAGCCAACCATCTGAGTTCAAATCTGATTCTGCCTCTTACTTTAAGTAGGACCTTGGGCATGTTATTTAAAACCTCTGTGCTTCAGTTTTTTCCAATGTAAAATGAAGATAACCTGGGGTCTACCTTGTAGACTTGTGAGGATTAAATGAGTTAATATATGTAGCACTGACAATAGTGCCTGACACATAGAAGGCACGTGATAAGTTTAAGTAGTTATTAATTAGCACTGGTAAAAATGGAAACAACTAACATGTCCATTAACTGGAGAATAAATTGTGGTATAGTCAGAAATGGAACACTTAAGAAACAAGAAAAACAGAGTTATGTAAATCATCATGTATAAATCTCAAAACATATCTCTAATTGAAAAAAGATTGTACAATAATAATATTATGCTATAATTTATATTGTTTGAAAACACACAAAAATACTATTTATTTTTTGTGCACGCACACATATGTAATATAAAATTAGGTATAGGAAAGAAAAACATCAACTTCAAGTAAATGATTATGTCTGAAGACCAAAGAAAGAGAATAAATTTGGAGAGGTGTATACAGTACATACAAGGGGCTTTGAATGTATCTGGAATGCTTTTTTCACTGTGTGGCAAAATGGTATGATTTGATACAGCTAGACAATGGGTACATGAAACATTTAATTTTAATATTCACTGTACATAAGTATGTTTGAAATATTTCATAGTAAAAAGTCACCACAGCAATCACTTACCATGTTCAACATTTTCTTCAAATATAACACAGGTCCCAGGAGTGTCTGTGGAAAAATTTAAAGACCTGATGACAAATAACAAAGTTGCTTTCTCGGAAAAGCATGTAAAAAAAGGAGTTTCGTCTATCTGACATTCTGCTACCTTCGTACTCTCCAGCGAAGACATAGCCGTCCACTTGCAGAATGGGCCTCTCTGTGTCAATTCCCTACATCAGAATAAAGGATCATAACAGATCATCGTCAGAAAAAGCCTTAGGAGTTGAGTAAAATGGGTGAATGTGATAAAAAGAAACAAACTTCCAATTATAAAATACATAAGTCCTGGGGATGTAATGTGCAGCATGGTAACTATGGTTAGTAATGCTCTATTGTGTATTTGAAACTTGCTAAGAGAATAAATCTTAAAAGTTCTCATCACAAAAAAGGTAAAATTTATAACTATGTGGTAACAGATGTTAACTAGACTTTTGGAGTGATCTCTTCATAATATGTACAAATATTGAATCATTATGTCATACCCCTGAAACTAATATGTCAGTAATATATCAACTTTTTAAAAAGGAAAGAAAAAGGCTTCCAGATGTAACCTTGCTACCAAAGTGAATGTCTAACAGAGGTGTCCAACCCGTGGCCAGGGAACCACATGCAGTTCAGGATGGCTATGAATGTAGTCCAACACAAAATCGTAACTTTACTTAAAACATTGTAAGATTCTTTTGTGATTACATGTCTGAGGTATTTAATGTGTGGCCCAGAGACGCCAAAAGGTTGGATACCCTGCTCTTATCCCAGCAAGTACAAGACTAGCTAAACCTGCTCTGATCACAGCACCTACGACCTGCAGCTGCTTAATTCATACCCCAGCAGATAGGTCTATTTCAGTCAACATGCTCTTCAAGTTAGGCCAAGAAGAGGGCAAGTTTTGACAACAGTAGCTGAAAGATTTTAAGGCAAAGTGATAAAAACAGATAACTTGGAATACCACACATAACTCAAGACAGCAGAGTGTGAGGTCTTTGAAGTTCTCTCAGTAGGCACCTTCTCTCCCTTCTCTGAATGTAACCTGTGTGCATAACCAATTACCCTCTCTCCTTCAGACTAAAACAACTTATTTTTTCAGATTACATCGTTCCATTTAAAAATGCCACCTCCTCCAAATCTTGAACTCTCTGCAGTCAAACATTCGGCCACTTGAGCAGAGTTAAACGTTTTCTCCCATGTACATCCTGTACATCTATGTCCCCCTGTATATCTATGACTGTCTTCGGAGTTCACTGCTTTGTAACATGGAATATATCAGTCTCTAGGGATAGATGGTTCACCAATCATTATTGTTCTAAATTTAAGAACATCTACAACCATCCTTCACTTTCGGAAGACTTACCAAAATTTTGCATTTATTTTCACATTTTGAGAGAAAGTCTGAATCAATAATTCCCGTCAATTCCACCAGAACCAGCTGCTCCTGGTGGAAGAAAGGGGGGTCAATATGCTAGCCTGCGAGTGGTGTGCAAGAGGCAGTTAACAAGAGCAGCCCAGAATCACCAGTGCAGCAATCCCAGCCCTGTGAAAACTACGTCCTGCTTTCAAGGCGAAGAAGAAGGCGAAGTTACCCTGAGGCAATTACTCTACTTCCCCAATCTGAGAACAATGCGGCCATCAGGCTTGGGGCAAGCTCCCTTGCAGCCCGCCCCCTCCCCCGACCTCCAGCAAAAAACCCGCAAGGCGCCCGTGGGGGTCAGCGGTGCCGGCCGCATCCTGGCTCCCTTCCCCTCTCCCAGCCCGTGCGGCTCTCACCGCCACCGCCCCTCGCGCAGGCTTTCGTCGTAGCACTCACCGCCTCCTCTTCCCCATCTCCGGGACGCCGCTCCTCCACCGCCGCCATGATCCCACTCCCCCTCGCAGCCACTGAGCAACTAGCCACGCCCACCACGGGCGCCATCTTGAGTGTGGGCAGCGCCCCGCCCTCATTCCTTGCTGCGCTTCAGGCCCTGGGAACCACTCCTAGGAGGGGGCGGGAAGGCCGCCGCCGTGCCCACGTCGACGCTGCGTCCGGGCTCGACCTTGTTCCTTTGTTGTTGTTTTTCTTTTCCCCTTGTTCCTTACTTGCGGGCTGGAGCCGGGTCCCAGGCTGGCTAGGAGGTCCGGTGACCCAGGCATCCCTTAGCCGCCCAGGCCCTAAGTTACAGGAGAGGACTGGGGCGGGGGAACCACCGCCTGCTGGGCGATGGAGTGGTCTTGTGAGCTGAGTCTGCTTTCTTGGGAAGAAATTCTTAATACTGTGGAGGGGAAAGTAACTTCACAGGGTGATCTGAGTATTAATTCCTAACTGGGCTGATCATGGAGGGTGGTTTCACCCTAGGCATAAACTTCTTAGTAAAAGGCTTTTATCCAAATGTAAGTACGCTCTGTGCATCTAGGGCAACACCTTTGAAATAAGCGGAAGCCACTTTAAAGAGAGCGCATACTCTTGTTAAGTGTCCTGTAATCCAGAACTGCATTGCTTTCTCTTACGTGAGTGTAAACTTCCTCAGTTCCCTCATTTATCTGATGCATAAAAGAAACATTCTCTGGACCATTTGAGATCTCGCTCCTTGGCATATGCGTCAGTGTGGCTCAGACTCATAAAAATTCTCCACAGAATTTGAAGAATTCTCCAAAGGTGTCCACACAGGTGGACACACCTATGTGATGATATCCTGGGCACTGATCAGTTCAAGTTTTCCCTGAGCCCATTTCATGTGGATGAAAGGCCACAAGCTAAACCTGAGAAGCTCAGGGGAGGCCTGCGTGACAGCGTTACAAACTCAGAGACCTAAAGTAACCACATAAAATGGTCTGAAATTAAAACTTTCTAACTAAAAGCAGGTCATGGCCTGCAGTGATGTCCAAGACTAGAATCTTCCCTGACAAGTCAGTCTTTACTTTGATGGAGACTACCTATTGTCTTCTCGCAATAACATACTTTGGAAATATGTTATCTGCAAATACTTCTAAATACTTCCAAATACTTTGGAAGTGTGTTATCTGCAATAACATGCTTTGGAAATGCCAGATTTCCTTTTTCTGGACCCACCTCAAAGCACAGGCACTCATCAGAGTGGAGATCACAAATCCCCTCGTTGTTGTTGTTGCTGTGTTAATTGCTGACTGTTAACTATCCTGTATCTACCCATGTAAAAGAAGTATATGTCTATTGGTTTACTTTTTATCCAATCCCAGATGTGCCCCCCCAGCCTGACTTTGCTTTCTCCTGGCTCCCTACTGTAGCCCCAATGAATTTCATGTAAGCCCCTTAAGCCTCCTGTTTTGATTGTGCTATGTAAAATAAGGTGCAAAACTGCCATTTTCTGGATCACATACTCAATCCACTGAGGTTTTGTTTTCCAGCAATTGTCTTAAGTTGGGCTCAAATAAACTAATAAAAATTCTTAGAGGTTTGGGCACTTCTTATGGTAGGGGACTCAAGAATTGAAAAATTTTAGTTTAAGGTAGATAGGTAATAAGCCTAGTAAGTAATGCATATGTTAAAGCTGTTGTTTCAGAAACTACAGATAAGGCCCATCCCAGCTCCCGGGAGAGACTGCCAACCTCCTGGGGCACTGCTAGAGATCACTGCCTGGGGACAAGTGCAGGCATCCAGGCCATTGTGTTCGAGGGAGAGACAGCCAGCCACCCACCCATGGGAACAGCCTAACTGCCTAGGGCAAGAATACTGCAGTTTTTTAAATCTAATTTCCGCTGAATTTCAAAACCCCTCACTGAACTTTGTTCTCTGTTATAAAAACACTGGCCTGGAAAGAAAATGTAAGATAGTTTGTTAGGGTACGAACCTGCCATCTTCTCAGATCACCAGCCATCTGAATAAAGCACCCATAAAGATTTAATCTCGGTCCCTGCTTATTGGGTTTGGTAGTGACAGGCAGCATGAGCTCCGGTGTCTTTTCCAGTTTCACTTACATTGACATTAATAACACATTTCAGATTAACTAGTGTGAGCTACCCAAGTGACTTCTGGCCAAGATGGAGGTATAGGTAGACACACTGTACCTGCTCGCACAACCAAAAGACTGAGGACAGCAAATTTAAAAGTAAAAAACAACAGAACTGACAGAAAACTGAACTGTATGGAAGTCCAACAACCAAGGAGTTAAAGAAGAAATATCCATTCAGACAGGTAGGAGGGGCAGAGATGGGCAGCCAGGTAGAAAGGACTCATGGCAAGGTGGCAGTTGGAGGACTGGGCAGTCCCACATTTTCGTGCAGATAAACTGGGAGGAACAACTGGGGAGCGAGACAGACTGCACAACCCAGGGCTGTAACATGGGAAGACAAAGCCTCAAAGCCTCTGACTGAAAACACCTGTGGGGGTTCAGGCAGCAGTGGGAGAAACTCCCAGCCTCACAGGAGAGTTTGTTGGACAGACCCCCAGGGGCGTAGAACGTACACAAACCCACCCACCAGGGAATCAGCACCAGAAAGAACCAATTTGGTTGTGGGAAGCAGGGGAAGTGACTGGAAACTGGCAGAGAGGAGCAAGTGGCACTGTTCCCTCTTGGACCCCACCCCCACTTACAGCATTACAAGGCAGTGACGTAGGTTGCCCTGCTCTGGTGAACACCTAAGGTTCCTCCTCTTACTAGGGAACAAGCACCCCAAGACCAAAAAAATGGCCCAAATGAAAGAACACTTCAAAGCTCTAGAAAAAAACACAACCAAGCAACAAAGAGATAGCCAACCTATGAGATGCACAGTTCAAAACACTGGTTATCAAGATGCTTCAGGAACTCACTGGGTACTTCAACAGCATAAGAAAGACCCAGGCAGTAATGAAGGTTACAGTATGTGAAATAATGCAATTTCTATAGGGAAATCTATAGGGAACCAACAGGGACAGGAAGGAAACCAGGACTCAAATCAATGGTGTGGACCATAAGGAAGAAAGAAACATTCAACCAGAACAGAATGAAGAAACAAGAATTCAAAAGAATGAGACGAGGCTTAGGAACCTCCAGGACAACTTAAATATTCCAACATCCGAATCATAGGGGTGCCAGAAGAAGAATAGGAAGAGCAAGAAATTGAAAACTTATTTGAAAAATAATGAATGAGAACTTCCCCAATCTGGCCAAGGAAATAGACTTTTAGGAAGTCCAGAAAGCTCAGAGTCCCAAAGAGGTTAGACCCAAGGAGGAACACACCAAAGCACATCATAATTATATTAGCCCAAATTGAAGATAAGGAGAGAATCTTAAAAGCAGCAAGAGGAAAAGGAGACAGTTCCCTACAAAGGAGTTCCCATTAAACTATCAGCTGATTTCTAAAAAGATACCTTACAGGCAAGAAAGAAGTACTTGAAGTCATAAAAGGCAAGGACCTACATTCAAGATGACTCTATCCAGCAAGGCTATCATTTAGAATGGAAGGGCAGATAAAGTGCTTCCCAGATAAGGTCAAGTAAAAGGAGTTCATCATCACCCAGTCTTTATTATATGAAATGTTAATGGGACTCATTTAAGAAAAAGAAGGTAAAAAATATGAACAGTAAAATGACAACAAACTCATAGCTATTAACAACCAAACTTTAAAAAAACCTAAGCAAACAGCTAGAACAGGAACAGAACCACAGAAATGGAGATCACGTGGAGGGTTAGCAACAGGGGAGTGGGAGGAGGAGAGAGGGGGAAAAGGTACAGAGAATAAGTAGCATAGATGGTAGGTAGAAAATAGGCAGGGGGAGGTTAAGAATAGTATAGGAAATGTAGAAGCCAAAGAACTTATATGTATGACCCATGGACATGAACTAAAGGGGGGGGGGAATGTGGGTGGGAGAGGGTGTGCAGGGAAGAGGGGAATAAATGGGGGGAATGGGACAACTGTAATAGCATAATCAATAAAATACCTTTAAAAAAAGAAGAAGAAGAATGAGCTACCCAAAGACGTGCTCCTGGGCAGAGTTTTCTTAAAGTAGCCTCATGGATTGTTCTGATGATAAATAAAGGATTTTTGTACAGGAGACAGGATGATCTAGCTCCAAAGAGTATGCGCTTTGGGTCTAATGCTTGTCCAGTTTTGCTGCAATATTATCAGCAAGGCCTTGTACAAGTTGGTTATTGTGAGGATTAAATGAAATACTGTGTATAAAGAGATTTAGCCCAGTGTTTGGCATATATTAAGCATTTAATATGCTTTTTAATATATTATTAGTAGTAATATACAAAATTCGAGAATATTACAACTTTGAAAAATATTTTCATATGTTTTTCAGGTTCTTTTTACACACTTTATTTACTTAAAGATTTTATTTCTTTTTAGACAGGGGGAAGGGAGGGGGGAAGAGAGAAGGAAACATCAATCTGTGGTTGCCTCTCACACTCTCTCCTGGGGACCTGGTTTGCAACTGAAGCAAACCAGGCATGTGCCCTGATCTGGGGATTGAACCTGAGACCCTTTGGTTTGCAGGCCAGCATGCAATCCACTGAGCCACACCAACCAGGGATGTATAATGAAATCCTATCCAGCTATAAAAAAGAATGAAGTACAGATACATGCTACAGCATTGTTGAACTTGAAAGCATTAAGAAACCAGATACAGAAGGCCACATATTGAATGAGTCCATTTGTAGGAGAGATCCAGAACAGGCAAACCTGTAGAGAAAGAAAGTAGCTCATTGGTTGTTAAAGCCTACAGGAAAGACTTTAACTTGGGGAATGACTGCCACTGGATGTGAGGTTTCTTTTGTGGTTGATGAATATGTTCAGGAATTAGGTTGCGGACCTTTCTCAATGTACTGTGTACTTTAATAGTGAATTTTATAGTATGTGAACTGTACCTTTAAAAGCTGTTATTAAATAAATATTAACAATAGTAGAAGCAGCTAGTTTTAAACTGAACAGGGAAGAGAAAATTGCTTGGGTGATTAAGAAAAAAATCTTTGAAGGCTAGATCCAGGCCAGATACCATTGAAGCTGCGTAGCAGAAGTAATTTGGTCCTGGATCCAAAACAAACAATAACTTAAGAACCCGTATCTGGGAGTCGGAAGGAGCTGGTAAGGATCAAGCATCATTAGCCCCTTTTAATTGGGCCCTCTTTAGGCCTCACGACAGTCTCAAAAGGTAATAATTATAAAGAGTGACATTCAAAACCTGTGATGACCAACAAGGCACAGCACTCAGCCATGCTGGAGTCAGGTCGTGGGAAAGCTGGGCGATGTCTAGAGACACCTAGAGGCTCGAGGTAGTTTCTTTTCACTGAACGATAGGGCAGTTTCATTAATTTAACAGCCGGTATGGTTTTACTACTACATACAAGTAGACTATCAGCCTTCATTAGTCTAACTTCCATTTTACACATCAGAAAACTGAGACAGAAAATTAGGAAACTTGCCTGTCTGTCTGCCTTATTCCTCTATACTGTTGTCTCTTCTGGGAAAGGAGAGAACCTTGAAGGACAGAGTAGAGATGCCAAGCCCTGCATCAGGCTAGCTAGAGTCAGAAAAGTGAGATAGAACATCCAATCTTAACAGTGTTGAAAGGGGAGACGAAGAACGAGGGAGCTGCACACCTGATAAAACTGGGCTGGCCTCATCCTTCTGTATTGCAAGACTTGAATGACATTACAACAAGTGTCACGTTTTCTGTGAAATGGCCATCACTGTAATTGCCAGAAGTAGAAACTTTATTTTCTTTATTTCCATATTTTTATTTTTTTTAATTTTTCAGTCATTGATTTTTAGAGTGAGAGGAAGAGAGAGAGACACATGGATGAGTTGCTCCACTCACTTATTTATGCATTCATGGCTGATTCTTGTATGTGCCCTGACTGGGGATCTAACTGACAACCTTGGAGAATTGGAATGACACTCTAATCAACTGAGCTACCTGGCCAGGGCAGGAACCTTATTTTCTTCAATCTGGCCTTTTGTTTTTGTTTTTGATTTTTCCTTTGACTAAAACTGACCTCACCCATCTCCTGACCCCTCTTTAATCATTATGCCCTCAGGACAGTGAGGTTCTGGTCAGCATCCAGGAGTCTTAGAAACAAGGTCCTGGGACTATTGACCATTGAGACAGAGTTTTCTATCAAACGAAACATCATATCTTGGCCTCAGTTATGTTTTTGCTCCAGACGCAGGAAAGCAGAATGATCTCACAGAACAAAACCTTGCAAAATTGGACAGAACAACTCCATGGCTGACTGACATCAGGACCAAATACAATGATCAGTTCCCCCTACCCTAGCACCAACCAATCAGTAGAGACCATGATCCTAACTGTAACAGTCATCGTGATTAATGATTACAAGTGGGCACTCAATCCACTGAGCCACAGTAGCCAGGGCTAATGATTGTTTTTCTTATATAATCCACCCCCTGAAAACATTTGGAGAACCAGGTCTTTGAGCATGAGCTACCTGTGACTCCAGGCGTGGCACCTCCTTAATAAATCCTTCCTTCCTTGACTGCACACTCCTGCTTGTGTCTTATTGGGCTTTGATGCTTGTGGGCAGATGGACCCCTTCAGTCCAGTAACAGCTATATTCCACATCTCCTTTTGCTTTGTTCTTTGTTGTGTTTCTTAGTATGTGAATTGCAACCACAAACCTGGATGTATAAGAAAAAACATGTTTTGCCCTGGCAGGTGTGGCTTAGTGGATTGATTGCTGGCCTATGAACCAAAGGGTCACTGGTTCAATTGCCAGTCAGGGCACTTGCCTGGGCTGCAGGCCAGGTCCCCATCTGGGGGTGTGCAAGAGGCAGCCAATCAATGTATCTCTCACACATTGATGTTTCTCTCTCTCTCTTTCTTCCTTCCCCTCTCTCCAAAAATAAATAAAATCTTTTTAAAAAAGAAAAAAAGTGTGTATTTTCTTAAATGAAATTAAACTTGACTGAGCCCCTGTCACATCAGGATGGCATGAAAATTTAATCTTAATTTACTCCCCTTAATACCTCCAGATTATACACAGTATTTGGAGAGAACTTTCTAATCTTCAGTCTGCACTGTTTGGTGCTGAGATTCCTGTGGTTGAAGACACAGATCCGTGAAGGTCAGGGGCTCCGTTTCTGCGGCGCATGGGAATCCCTGCTGTGTGTGGGAACCTTAGTGACTGGTCACTCTAACCACAGGTCCTGGAACCTCTGCGGGGTACTGCCAGGGTAGTGAGGGCGCACCAGTTTACACTCCTTCCAGCCCGAGAGAATCTCCATTTTTTTCCTTCTATTTTGAACAAAGGCACCCCTCTACTTTTCCCTCTCAAATATCTAGCATAATTTCAGAGGCACACCCTTCAGGTAGCTTCAGCTTTCCATTCCTTAGACATTCCAGACAAAGGACTACAAATGGCCTGGCTACCTGTTTGGAAGGAATAAAGCAGAATATGTAGCGCATTAGTACCTCCATAAAGAAACCTGTCATATCAATAAACTCTTGTGGGAAAAAAAGCAAACCTTGTCTTGCTGGTTTCAAAAGAGTCAAAGGAATATGTTCACACCCCAGGTCAATATAGCCTGGGAGCCTGAGGGCTCTAAGTGTTCACTGGGAAGAGGTTTGGTGGCAGTGGCCATCCTAGTGCCCAGGAGGGTCTGGCGTGATTCCTGGGTCGTCGCAAGAAAACAGGTCGTGGGTGGTGAGAGGAGCTTAAACCCGTGATGTTGTTGCCATCCCCTAAAGGAAGAAAACTCATTTCCCAGTGTTCTCAGTAATGAAGTTTACCGCTAGCAGTTATGGGTAAAAGTAAGAAAGAAAGAAAAAAGAAGTCGTGGGTAACAAAAGGAGGGAAAAATTAACAAGTCCAATGAAAAACCATATAAGAGACAAATTGCATAGTTTTGTGTAACCGTGGTTAGATCTAATAGAGAAAAATCTATTTAATTTGGTGGGGAGGGGCGATTGATTTGAATTGTGGTAAATAGAGGAATCTGAAGAAAAAATTCAGAAATACAATTTCTGAAAAATATAAATGGGTGTTGTGCTCAACCTTAAAAAGCCTGCCACTAGGAGGAGACAAATGAATTAAACATTATGTAATCTGCTCTTTAGAATACATTTCCAAAGTTAAGAAGAACCTCATGAAAAATATATTTAATAGAAGAATTCTAGTAAAAGAGTCTTTGGTGAATATTAACATTTTGTTTTAAAAGTGAACATTTTAACTTTAAGTAAAGTTTATACTAATTAAGGCCTTTTCTTTATTTTTGAAGGTTTTATTTATTTATCTTTAGAGAGGAAGGGAAGGAGAGAGGGAGAGAAACATCAATGTATGGTTGCCTCTCGTGTGTCCCCTGCTGGGAACTGCCCTGCAACCCAGGCATGTGCCCTGACTGGGAATCAAACTGTGATCCTTTGGTTCACAGGCCCGCACTCAATCCACTGAGCTACACCAGCCAAGGCAAGCCTTTTTCTTTTTTCTAATCCATTATCTTACTCTGTTTTATCTGAAAGCTAAATGCTAGACCATTGGCTCTCAGACTTCAGCCACCTCAGAATCACCTGGAGGACAGATTGCTCAGCCCCAAACCCAGAGTTGCTGATTCACCAGGTCTGCTATAGAACAGGACAGAAAAACCTCCATTTCTAACAAGTCCCTTGTGATGCTGATGCTTCTGGTCTGAGAAACACATTGTGCTACATGACTACAGAAGTGAACCACTTGCCAACAGATTCAGTTCAATATTCAAAACATTGGTTACTAACATTAGTTAGTATTCAAAATACTAACTAAAGTATTTCAGTATGTTAGGATGTAACTTAGCATTGGAAGTAAGATTGAAATGATAATTTTTGGAGGTCTTTGAATCCAAAAGAAAGCAATCCAATAGCAGCACAGTACCATTGGAAGCTATCGTGGCGTGTGTTTATGCAGTGGTGAAATTAAGTGGCACAGAGAAACACTGAAGACCAAGAGACCAGGTGGAGCCTACAGGGTCCATCTCAACCAAGGGCACAGGTACCCTCTATCAGGGGTCCCCCGCTCCCCTGGTCATGGGCCGGTACTGGTCCGAGACCAGTTAGAAATAAGGCCGCACAGCAGCAGGTGAGCTTGAATGTAATGCACTTGGATTATCCTGAAACCATCTCTCTCACCACTGGCCATGGAAAAGTTGTCTTTTACGAAACTGATCCCTGGGTGCCAAAAAGATTGTGGATCGCTGTCCTATATGAGGCCCAGAAAAACAGGAAATGTTCCAAAAGCATCATTTTTGGTTCACTGACCAGTAACTACTAAAAGCATTCTTTTCATGTAATGACAAAAATAGATGGAGGGTGAAAAATCAGCGTTTTTTTTAAGAGATTGTCCCCTAGGGGGCGCTCCATTCCCGTAGGTACCACAATGCCGGGTGGATGCAGAGTGTGGATACAGCAACTCCTATTCGAATTCCCTGCTCCAAAAATCCATTTAATCTGTTGCCATGGATAGAGGATGTATGTATCAGATGTTAAATTGATAAGAACAGGTACCTGTGCTTGATCTTAGCCAAGGGGATGAGAAACAATTGCATAACTTTAAAATATATATATATTATTTATTTATTTTTTTTAGACAGAGGGAAAGGGAGGGAGAAAGAGAGGAAGAGAAACATCAGTGTGTGGTTGCCTCTTTCACGCCCCCTGCTGGGGACCTGGACTGCAACCCAGTCATGTGCCCTGAGTGGGAACCCAAACTGTGACCCTTTGGTTCTCAGGCTGGCGCTCAATCCATTGAGCCACAAGAGCCAGGATGCAATTGCTTAACTTTTTCAAAAAATTATTTATTTATTTTTAGAGAGGGGGACAGGAGGGAGAGAAACATCCATCGGTTGTCTGTCACATGCCCTCAACTGGGACCCGGCCTGCACGCAACCCAAGCATGTGCTCTGACTGGGAATCGAATGATGACCCTTCAGTTAGCAGGATGATATGCACCCCACTGAGCCACACCAGCCAGAGCTGCATAACTTAAAGAATTTTTTTTATTGATTGATTTTTAGAGAGGGTGGGGGAGAGAGACATGGATTTTTTGTTCCGTTTATTTATGTATTCATTGATTGATTTTTGTATGTGCTTTGACTGGGTTCGACCCTTCAAACTTGGCATATATGGAGATGATGCTCCAATCAACTGAATTACCGGGGGGCCAGGGCCTCTCCTATCAATTTTAAAAGTTATGCACTCATGCCCTTGGGTGGGTAGCTCAGTTGGTTGGAATGTCCTCCTGATACATGATGGTTGAGGTTTCTATCCCATTCAAGGCACATACAAAAATCAACCAATGAATGAATAAATAAATGGAACAACAAATTTATGTTTCCCTTTCTCTCTTTTCCTTCTTTTCTCTCTCTCTCTTAAAGTCAAGAAAAACTTTTTAAAAAATGTATTTCATTGACTATGCTGTTACAGTTGTCCAAATCCCCCCCTTTATATCCCTCCTCCCAGGACCCCCCCCCCCCCATTTTCTCCAGCATTCCCCTCCACCTTAGTTCCTGTCCCATAGCCATGCATGTAAGTTCTTCTTTGGCTACTCCATTTATTATACTGTTCTTAACATCCCCCTGCCTATTCTGTACCTACCAATCTGTACTTCTTAATCCCTGCATCTTTCCCCCTATTCTCCCCCTTCTGTCTTCCAAATGATAACCATCCAAAGATCTCCATATCTATGATTCTATTATGCTTATTTGCTCAGTTTGTTTTTTAGACTCAATTGTCGGTAGGTGTGAATTTATTACCATTTTAATGTTCATAATTTTGAGCTTATTTTTCTTGAATAAGTCCCTTTAACATTTCATAAAATAAAGGCTTGGTGATGATGAATTTCTGTAGCTTACCTTGTCTGGGAAGCGCTTTACCTACCCTTTGATTATAAATGATAGCTTTGCTGGATAGAGTAATTTAGGTTGTAGGTCCTTGCTTTTCATAACTTTGAATACTTCTTGCCAGTCCCTTCTTGCCTGCAAAGTTTCTTTAGACTGGGAACTCCTTTGTAGGTAACTATCTGCTTTTCTTTTGCTTCTTTTAAGATTCTCTCTTTATATTTAACACTTGGTATTTTAATTATGATGCATCTTGGAGTATATCCATCTTGTTTGGGACTCTCTGTGCTTCCTGGAGTTGTATGTCTATTTCCTTCACCAAATTAGGGGAGTTTTCTTTCATTATTTTTTTCAAATAGATTTTCAAATTCTTGCTTTTTCTTTCCTTTTTCCAGCACCCCTATGACTCAAATGTTGGTGTGTTTGATGTTTTCCCAGAGGCTATTTACCCTATTGTCAGTATTTTTGGATTCTTTTTTCTTCTTGCTGTTCTGATTGAGGTTTTTTTTTCTTCCTTGTCTTCCAAATCATCAATTTGATTCTTGGCTTCATCTACTCCACTGTTGATTCCCTGAAAACTTTTCCTTATTTCACTTAGTGTAATATTTATTTCTGCCTCAGTCTTTTTTATGCTATGGAAGTACCCAATGAGTTCCTTGAACAACCTAGTAACCATTGTTTGAACTCTGCATCTGATAGATTGTTTATCTCCATTTTGTTTAATTCTTCTGCTGTAGTTTTGGTTTGTTTTTTCGTTTGAGCCATATTTCTTTGTCTCCTCATTTTGGCATCCTCCCTGTGTTTGTTTCTATGTATTAGGTACAGCTGCTTTGACTTCTGGTCTTAATAGCATGATCTAATGTAGAAAAGCACACTGCAAGTTGGATGTGGTAGAACCTTAGGTAATTGCCTAGGCAAGGCACCCCATGTGAACCAGGTTGATGGAGTCTCAGGTTGATGGTATTGCTGCTCTGTGGCTCTGTGTGGGAAAAAGCTCAGAAAAGAAACAATGGCTGCGGCCTGGCCTCTGCAGTTTTGTCCAGGAGTAAGCTTTTCCCCAGCACATGCCATGATGACAGACACTTTGGTTTGTCCCCATATGCCACTGGTGCCCCTTTAGCAGCTGCCCTGGTGCTGGAGTCCAGAGGGAGTAAGTCTGTGTACAAAGTCCTAAGTCTGTTGCTGGCCCTTTAAGAGGAGACTCCTGAGAACCCAGCAGTTTCTTTTGGCACCCCAACCCTCACTAATTTTTATAGCCAGAAGTTATCGGGACTTATCTTCCTGGCACTGGAACCCTGGGCTGGGTAGCCTGGGCTGGGACTGGGATCCCTCACTCCCCTGATATCCCTCCTGATTTTTATCCATCACAAGTGGGTGCGGACTACCTGTTCCACATCTCCACCCCTCCTACCTATCTGAAGAATGCGACTTCTTTAATTCCTTGGTTATTGGACTTCTATACAGCTTGATTTTCTGACAGTTCTGGGTGATAGTTGTTCTGTAATGTAGTTGTAATTTTTGGTGTGGTTGTGCAAGGAGGCAAGCTTGTTTACCTATACCTCTATCTTGACAGGAAGTCAAACTTAAAAAAAAAAGTTGATAGGAGTCTACCAAGATATTTCTTGAAAGTGGTTAGAGAGAAATTTAAAAGCTACATTTTCTAAGGGTACCCTCCTCCACACAATCTACATTTTCTCTACAGTTAGAGGTACTATCATGAAAAAGTTTGAGAAATGCTGGTGTAGTTCAAAAGCAAATGGTGGCTTGGAACATCATGATAACATTTGTAGTTAGAGAAGTGCCCCTATGATTTGTAGTTAGGTTTCAGCAGCCCTTATGATAATGAGATTGAATTGGCAACTCGTTAGAAGAAGTAGCATGAAGGGAAGAGAGAAAAGAGGAGCAGATAAGAGAAAAATTTGAATTACTACAGTTAAGAGCCTTAATGGCTCCCATAAGATTGTGAGCTGATTTCTCAAGAGAAATTTTGCAGGCCAGAGGATTTGGCATAATATGTTCAAACTGATGAAAAGCAAAGAACTACAACCAAGATGACTCTACCCAGCAAAGCTATCGTTTAGAATCAAAGGGCAGATAAAGAGTTTCCCAGACAAGAAAAAGTACATGAAGTGTTAAAAAGTCTCCTTTAAGGAGAATAAAAAAAATATGAACAATAAAATGGCAATAAATACAAATAAAAAAACAACGGAATGTGAAAAACAAGATAAATGAACGAGCAGAACAGAAAGAGACATAGACGCAGAGAACATTCCCATGGTTGCCAGATGGGACCAGCATTTGGGATTTGAGGGGCTGCGTGAAAAAGGTGAAGGGATTAAGAAGTACAGCTTGGTAGTAACAGAATAGTCATGGAGACGCAAAGTAGAGCACAGGGAATATAGTCGATAGTATTCTAATAACTATGTATAGTGTCACATGGGTACAAGACTGATCGGGATGATCACTTAGTAAGTTATATAATGTTTAATCGCTGGGTGTACACCTGAAACTAATATAATGTTGTTTGTCAACTGTAATGGAAAAATAAAAAATGATTTTAAAGAAAAAAGGAAAAGCAATAGGACTTGGGTGACTGCATAAATGAGGAGGCCCAAAAGAGAAAGTCGTTTTAAAAATCTCCCGCTTCTGAGCCTGAGTCAGTGTGGACGTATGCGATGGGTGACGAGAGGTAGGGCCTCAGCTGCCCTGTCCAAACGGATGAAAGAGTGATTAAGCAGGCCAGTGGTTCTCAAGCGTGGTTCCAAGGCTTGCGTAGTCAGCATCGCCTGGGATTTGTTACAATTCCAATTCTCAGGCCCTACCCCAGACTACTAAATAAGAAATGCTAGGAATGGGGCCCCACAATCTGTGCTGTAACAAACTTTCCAGGTGATTCTGACACATGATTCAGTCAAAAATTGAGCTAGGCCAGTTAGATTTCTTTTTTTCCTTTCAAGAATTTTTAAGTGGGATACAAAGGGAGAATCAGTCTGTTGATTGTGGGGAAAGAAGCTAAAAGTTGGTTATAGAGAGACTGTGAGTAAGTTGGAATTATGATTAAGCAGGAACCGTAACTAAATGCAGTCGTCGGCTGGTAGTGGTAAAGACAGGGAAGAACGGAGCCACCCTGTGCTTGGGGAATACTGCCTTCCTGCTGCAGCCGGAGTGACAAGTTAACCCAGTCTTCCGGTGGGCATGGAATTTGTCCAGTTCCGTGTTCATGTTAGTTCCCAACTGAAGCCTGGTCATATTGCTATTCTTAGGTTCCCATGATATTCTTATCTCTTTTATTGTCACATGTGTCCTTAAAATAGAGAGACTTCCCATTAGCTGAGGTGACCTGACTGAATCTGTATTCCTAAAACATAAAAAGCTGATAAAGCTCCGAAGTAGATGGAGCAAATTTTAAATTAATAAAAAGAATTGCTTTTTAAAAAAATATGGACACTTCAGTTTAAAAAAAAAATACCATCCTAACCACTTTAAAGTGTACAGTACAGTAGTTAAGTATATTCACATTGTTGTGAGGGCAATTTCCAGATATTTTTCATCTTGCAAAGAATTATTTTTTCAAAAATTACTTTTTGGTGCTATTCAAATGTATTTTAATGCTATTATCTTTGCCCTTGTACAACTGAACCATTTCCAAACTGAACCATCAAGTCTGATGCCCAGGTTCATACTTGGGGTTTGTTTTTTTGTTTG